TCCCCATCCCACAATCCCTTGCACCATTTGCTGCAGTCTTTCTACACAGGCTGAGTGAGAAAAAGATGTGCTAAATAAAGATTGATTGGTTTGAATCCTGAAGGGGTCTCCCACTTGTAAATGACCCGGGGGAAAAAAAAAAAAATTCATGACGACTTCACTGGGCCTCCTCTTATTCTTCCATTTTTCTTTCCACCTGTCCTCTTCGTGGAATGGAGCGTCATTCCTCAGAGCACAAAATCTCTTGTGCATCTAATAATGACTGTGCTGTGACAGGGATTCTGAAACAGTTTTACGCGTGAGGCTTGAAATATTAACAGATGATGGTTTATTCGTTTGGATTACTGCGGAACTGCAGCTCCGTCCCTGCAAGGATTTTATCCTCAGCACTGCACTGATTAAGCTATTTTTCTACAAAGATGGGTAGGTCTGAAATGCTCAAGTTTGCTCAGTGTTATTCCTGGTGGCTGCTGCTGGGTTGCTCCTTCTGTTTTGGCCCCCGATCGTTCATTATGCTTCTGCATGCTGTAAGAATGAAGGGGGTTGCTGTGTTTTAAACAAGGCACCAAGCTGATTGCAAGAGTGGGAGAGAAAGGAATGTAAATTTAGCTTATCAAGCCTTTTACACAAGTGGACTGTGTGGCTGTTATGGTTATTCATTTTCTCGGTGTGCTCTGTGTCAGCTAATTTTGGGGCTGCTGCTAGAAATGGCTTGAATCTGTTCTTTATTCCCAAAGACTACGGACAGGCGATATATCTTGTTTAAGGACTTTTAAACCCCGGCTCCCCCAATCCTTGAAGCAGCATTATTGAGGTTCCCCACCCTTTCTTACGGCTCTCAAGGCCTAACCGTTTCTTTGGAAAGGTTGCTATTGGAAACCTATTCATTCATAATACATGAATAGACCCTCTGGGTTGTGAATACCATTGATAACAAGAGGATGAACAAACTGCGAGCAATTTGTTCTCCTCAGGCTGTACTTTCAGGCTAGTTGCAGCTCTGGCTGGGTGGAGTTCAGCAATAGCAGTGTATCAGCCACAGAGAATTCTGTTCTTTTAGGAATAAATCCTGGGAACCGAACAGACAGTTACGAGTTTTCCCAATGTCTTTTTCTTAACCGGGCCACGGAAACTAATAGAGAATTTGGTAACTGTTGAGGAATACCAGAGCTTATTTGAAGATACGTGTAGGAAGGGTGCACTTTCCTATTACATGGCTCTATTTATCTGAAACAGTTCCTCTGGCACTGTTATTTGTGTACCCTAATGTTGTTTTTTTTCCTTTTCCAATACTATGGGAAGTTCTTTTTATATGGGTGGGGCCGCACCCTGACTTTCATTCCTGAAGGCATGCATGCGTAGCAGGGCAATGCTTTCCACGAGCTTAGAAGAGCCATTGTTTTCTCCTTTCTTTGCTGTGTATTGTATTTTAAGTGAAAATTGATAGCCATATCTCCAAGCAGAAGGAAAAAGAACAATATTACTTTTCGGGTGGATGGAGAGATAACAACCCTTGAGCCTCAAAGGGCTGACAAAGAGTATACATTTCAGAACCCTTTTCTGCACTTGATTTAGCAAACCTGAACTGGGTTTCTGGTGTGTGTTTCTTATAGATAAATGGGTGGGGTTTTATGTTGTTTGGGGGGCGATGTTTCACAAACCTTTGGCTTTGCATGTTTAAATTATGAAGTGTAAATATATGGAGAAGTGATTCTCAGACTTATTTTCAAAGCTAATGCTTCAGCTGCTCTTTATTAGATAGTGAGACAGAAAGACCTTCCAAAAAGAGCTCTGGCAGTTGCTTAGCTCAGAAGTTTTTCTTGTAAAAATAAGGTTACTTTGCAAATCTCCTAGTGCTAATACATCTGAAAGTCATGTTGCTGTTTCAAGGAAATGCTGCGAGCGCTGCAGTAAATAGGAATGAATACTGTCTTTGGTGAAATTCAAAAGCATTGCCTAAAATTTCCAGCTTTTCCTCAAATAATATTTAATTGTACAGTTGCTTTCATTGAGTCCCTGGGAAAAATCGTCCTTCTTGTAGCTATGTTACATTCATCAAAATTGCATGAAAGATGGAGTTGGCTCTGGAAGGCTGCAAAATTCTGGAAATTCTATACTCAACTTCATAAATTAATCACTTGTGTAAGATGTTGTTGTACCAGGTAGTGGCAAAAGCTTGAAATGTATTGGTGAAATTCTGTTTTCAGGTGCATGTTTTAAATCTGATTTATGTGAGCACAGGGGATAAATGACAATCATGATCTGCTTTATTCCAGATAAAATATCAAATATTAAAAGCACTTATTTCTGAATTGTTAGAATTTCACTGACAAAGCTTATAGCATGAACATTTGAAAATTAAAGTGGCTGGCATGAGCTTTGTGTAAGAAATGCTAAGAATCATCTGATTCTGTAATGAGATTGGGGGAATATAAAAGACTAAGATGAAGATCAGTTGAAATCAATATGAAATTTTTCAGGCAGCATGATTTTTCCTTGTATAAACATCTCCTAGTGTAGCTGTCCTTGATGGCAGAAAGAAAAAATTACAGAAAGTATCTTGTTGCTGGAGAACTTCTTTCTGTTAAATGACAGGCAGCATTTACTGGAGACCTATTCTTTCATATCTTGTTTAGGGTTTTTTTTTAAATAGCCTGTGTTTAGTCTATAACAAAAAAATTACACTGTTCATAATGTATTAGTATCCAGTTTGGAAACTGTGCCTTTGATAAGAAGTCTTCCTGCTTCTGATTATCTTCCCTGCTTTCTTTGGGTCCTCACCCCTAAATTTTGGTTGGGAGAGTGGGAGGCAAACACAGCTGCATCAATGGGGAATTGCATTTTCTTTTGAAACTGGTAACTGAAGTTCCACATGTTATACTGGCAACTGCATGAATACATTAATGCATATTTGATAGTCTACTCTTTCTACTCCCATTTGTGAAAGCTGGGTGTTTTTGTTCTGCTTCTTGTAAAAGCCATTTTTAACTTGAGCTTTTAAAAAGTAACACGTGTTCCTAATTGGCCTTCTAAGGCTTATTGTGTGTGATTTACGCTATTTAAATAGGTGAAATTATTTTTTGTTCATGCAATAGTCACAATTTATCTTACTATGGGGAAAGAAATAAAAAAAGTGAAACAAATAATTCTGAAATCATGCATTTCTGGGTCATAAGCAAACATTTTACAAGCATTGTAGCAATTTTTAACCTTGTAGATTCCCCTTTCTCAGATAAAAAAAGGGCCTGCTGTAAGTGTTGTGCATCGAATTACATGCAGTTACTGCTGGTCGGTATTTTAATTGTGATTAACTTTATGCTATTATACTTGCTAGCACAGAGGTGATTCCCTAGGAACTTGTTATCAGGGAATTCAGTACAGTGTGATCCGTAATCACCATCATTATCCTAGAAAGTAGCCATTTGGTCAATGTAGTGAGTAAGCTATACCTGTATGGCTAAATATATAGCTCAGGAAGAACAGCATGAGTTCAACTCTGCCAGATTAGTGTGCTGGGCATTCAGCACAGGAAGAAGATTTGATGTAACACTGCCAATAAAATGCTACACGTCATGCAAATCATTGTGGAATTGAGTGACCTTTGAATGAGCGCGATCAGCACCAAGGCTTGTTATTTCTGTCTCGGAAAGCCTCAACTGCCCTCAAGGCAAATATCAAATTGTCTGAAATGGATGACTAAAACCTGGGGTAGAAAGTGTTTAGGGAAGAAGTGGCTACCTCAGGAGAGTACCTGCCGTGGAGGAGCCCAGCTGGGCTCCCTGCTTGCAGGGAAGGGGAGCCCCTGTGGGTGCCCTACTTTGGCTGTGGGTGCAGGAGGGCTGGCAGAAAGTGCTGTGACAGAGACGCTGCTGTTGGCTCCCTGGGGAGTGAGCCTGCGCCTCCCAGTGCTCCAGCCTGCCAGAAATACTGATGGAGAGGAGTTCTTGCTGGGCCACCCTGCCAGGGCCTCTGCTTGTCAGGTTTTCCTAAACTATTTTAGCAGGCAGTTTACTTTTCTCTGAGGTTGCTTCCTTCCTTTTCCTCCTGTCCTCTCTTTCCACATAAGAATTCTGTTGGCTATAATCTGTACCTCCAGCTGAAAAGAAACCAAGTTTTCCTCTCCTTGTGCCTTGTTCCAGGGCAGGAGGTGTTCCATTACCCTGCAATTTTAATTCTGACAGTCAGTAGACTTTTTTCTTACCCTTTTATGTCATGCTTTATATGCCAGGGCTATGAAGAGTCTTCAGTCCTACTGCTCTTTCTGCCTAAAGTGCCATTTTTCTTGCATTTATTATTTGGATGTGATTCAGGTATCCTTCACCCTACCTTTGCTGATTCTCAGCAGCTGTCAGTTGCCTCTTCTTTTCTCAGTTTCTTTTATTGTGGTGGTTTTTGCTTCACCTACCTTATCCCAGTTGCTGATTCAGAATTTGAGCACTCCCTTCACAGGGGCTGGCTGGGTCTGGAGGTTACTTCTTGGGAGCTTCCTGGAGTCCAAATCTACTGTATCTTTGGCAACACCAGCACTGATAAGAGAAAAAAATTGTTAGGTGAACAATTTCCAAACTCTGTCTGTGACACAGCCATTTGAGTGGCTGGTGCAGTTCCAGTTTAAGCATCTTGCCAGCAGTACTGTAGATATAAGAAATCCCATGTTTGTTAGCACTGGCTGAACCTACTGGTGCAAGGACATTTTTATCGTGTGATTTCTTTAAAACCAGACAGCCCTGTAACTCTGTCAGTCCAGAGGCAACATGCCTTTCCAGAATGCCTGCTCAGACAGAGGTATTGTGTGGCAATGTAGACTTGGCTGACTGTTTCCCAGGTTCTCATCAGTGATAAACCATTTTAAAAGTTTAATTCTTCACTGTTTTGGTTTTCTGCGGAAACATGAATGCCTGCATAAGAATGAAAATGAGTGAATTTGTTGCTGATTTTGTTATTTCATGGAGTTTATAAGCCATTTTTCTTCTTTTCTTCTTTTCCCCACTCCACTGCAGCAGTGTGCAGGGTAGAAGGGAACAGGACCCGTATGTCAGTGGTCTAGGATGGCCAGTGAAGGCTCCAACATCCCAAGTCCTGTGGTCCGTCAGATTGACAAGCAGTTTCTGATTTGCAGCATATGCCTGGACCGTTACAAGAACCCCAAAGTACTTCCCTGCCTGCACACTTTCTGTGAGAGGTAAGTCCTTTCCTCATGCTGGTAACTAGGTATTTGTGTCGGATAACAAGCACAGAATTCTGCGTCCTTTGATGGATGAGGACTTTTCTCTTTAGTTGTAAAGGTCATGTTAAGGCATGATAAAGTCTAGGAAGGCTGGAGAGGCAGGGATGTAGAAAGACATTGTTATTTGTGGGAGGCAGGAAAAAGAGACAGCAGAGGAATGTTTGGAATAATTGTCTTGATGCAAGAGTAAATAAAAGTAAATCCAATGAAACTAATGGATACAGTTACAACAATGTGTAAGGCGATGGAAGTCAGAATTTGGACTTCAAACTAAGGGCCTAAGTTTATACCAATTAGCCTATAATTAGAAACAATAAAAACCTTTCTTTGTTGATTTACTAAGCAGAGAAATAATTATCCCATCCTTTAATGTCCAACAGTTACACATGATATATACATTATTAATAACCTGTAATTAAATGTCTTCATTATTCTGCAGTTGACTGAAGTGAAAAAACTCTCTGAAAAGAGATGTGATAAAACAGCAACCTGCTTTCTATTGTATTCAGCTGAATGAACTGAAAATACATAGTGATACTTTAATGTTGTATTTTCTTCACCATTTGATGGATAATATAGCATCTGCAGACAAGTTAGCTGAAGAATTACTGGTTAGACTTCTTTATCTGATGATGGGATGCAGCTCTTTGGATTATATACTGAATGACAGGAAAATTTTAATAAGTATTTTGTGTGAACATTTAGTTCAGCTGATTTACACCTCTTAGTTAGAATTGTAGTATGTGCATCTAATTTTGAACAGGGTACAAGAAAAAATGTGGATGTCTGAGTGTGTCAGATGAACAGGTCTTTTGTAGGAGAATAGGAAACCCCAACTTTACTGAAATCAGCAGTGAAACTCTCACTGAAGTCAGTGAAGTCAAGATTTTTGCCATCGTGTCTTAAGTTTCTTGACCTCAGTTCATGTGTAAATCCTAAATTCAGCTTCTGATTTTCACTGTAATCCTCTTATGCTGATCTGGTTATGGAGAGAGGCTGGAGGAACTCTTCCAGTGTACTGCTCATGTGCAAAGCCTAAGCTCTCCTTTCACAGAGCCCTCACTGGGGAGTCAGGAGAAGGGCTGCCAAGGGAGGATGAAGCGTGGTGCAAGCAAAGCTCTTGAAAGTAGATAAGAGCTGTGTAGCTGTGCGAGGTCACACTTTCTTGGTTGGCAACTCATGAGAAATTTGGTTCAGCACTGTTCCCCTGAAGAACTGCATTTTGCAAAGTTTCCTGTGCTTACAGGACTATACTGAATTGCCAGTTGCAGCTGGGTGTTGCATGCCCAGCAGTTGTTAACCTGCTTTTCAAGGCCAAAAGTGGCACTACCTGTCACCTAAGCTGGTGTGCTCCATATTGTCGATCACAGAACGTCAGATTTATATTCTGTGAAATACTACCACTTGACCACCACACACATGCAAGTCAAACACAAGCAAAAATCTCCAGAATTCCCCTTAACGTAAACTGTGATAACCTGGGACATGCTTCTCTATGTAGTAAAGAGAGCTCTGTTGATTCTGGCTAACGGCCAAATAACTTTCCTAATTGAAATAAATGGGAAAATTTCCATTGGTTTCATTGGGACCAGGTTTTACCTCTAAAACACTAAACCCACAAATACAAGTTTATAAAGGGGACCCTATTGGAAAGACAAGGGTCAACCACCGGTTAGTCAGTTAAAGACACATGTTCAAATACTTGATGCAATAGCTTCATATTTGTCAAACTTTATCTGATAGTTTATTGTTTTTACTGTCCTGTGAGGATGCAGTAGATCTCTGGAAGCATGGATCCACTCGGCACAAATACCTCAAAAAAAGGCACGTAACTTTTACAATACTGTGAGCTTATTGAAACTTTTTTTCATGTGGCAGAGGAAAAAAGATTTAATGGAAAAAAAATATCCTCATAACCACTTTTACTTCTGAAGCCTGGTGATGTACCTTTCCTTTTATAAGTAGGGGTACCACTATTTCAAACCAGCTCTTAAACTGAAGGGAGACTTTTTTCCTCTTTGATGATACTTTGTCTCTCTTTTTTCTCCCCTTCCACCTCCCTTCCCCATAGGTGCTTACAGAATTACATTCCAGCCCATAGCTTAACCCTTTCTTGCCCCGTGTGCCGCCAGACCTCCATTCTGCCAGAGAAAGGGGTTTCTGCACTCCAGAACAACTTCTTTATCACCAACCTGATGGATGTCCTGCAACGAACGCCGGACAACAGCATTGAGGAGTCCTCCATCCTGGAGACTGTCACTGCTGTTGCTGCGGGCAAACCACTCTCCTGCCCCAATCATGATGGAAATGTAAGTGAGATGAACTCCTGTGATACATGCAGATACTCATATGTACTGACTGGTCTGGTTTGTCATGGATGTTTTGTTCTAAAAAGATAGTGGGGAATTGGAATCACACTAGTTCTTTGATTTTATAATATGTCAACAAAAGACAAGTGATTCTTAAAATTAACTCAGATGCTCTTAGTGGAGCATCTTAAAGTAGTCAGGATATTATTTCATCTTACCAATAATCTTTTAGCACATTTGGTCAAAACTGCTGTCCTGCAAGCACTGAACCTTCTGCCTTTGCCCCTTTGGGATGGGTTTCCATACCTCTCTTGTTTGTAGAATCAACTATTGCTGTGGGAACCTGTGTGCTTGTTTAGGCAGTATGTGGCAGGGGCCTTATAAGCTTAACTGATATGCATGCTGAGGCAGTTCCAAAAGCTATGTGAGCATATTAACATGAAGCCAAATAAAATGGTGCTTAGGACGCTTTGGGTCAGCACAGCTAGAAACAGAGAATTTCTGTTTATCTGCAGTGTTTTGTGTATCTCATGTATCAGTCCTTGGAGGCTGCTTTGTTTACATTTTTCTCCCATCTTTCTCCTTTTTTTTGCCCAGCATCCCCCCACATAAACCTTCAGATCATATCAGTGTATTCATTGGCAAGTACCCCCAACTGTGTGAGTATTCCCAGATTAGTAAAAGTTAGAGCTGTTAGCTCTAACTCTGCTTACTTCACAATTTTCAGTGTAAACCTGTGTGGCTTCATGGTAGGCATAAGAGCTCCTGTCTTGTAGCCAGGTTTATGCAAACATGTGAGTAGACCGCACTGCAAAGCTGAGTGATGCTGTGTTGTGAACTGAATGCTGTGCTTCTATGCAAGCCAAGAAATATGTGCCAGTATTTTAAGATGACTTTCTGGGGTATTTGATATGCAATGTAGGTATATTGGTTGTATAGGAATAATTCAGCTGATAGGTAGTGATTACTCTCACAGAGAAACAGCTCAGTTCCCTCTCCTTTACTGACCTGCTGGAGTTATGTGGACTTGTGGAACTGATTTGCTGTACACTTTGATTAATGAATAACTGGTGTAACTTTTTTAATGTGTACTGTACTTATGTGTACGTAGTGGTTACTGATTAATACACTCCTAGTTTTCATTTAAATGTTATTGGCTGTCCTTAAAATGAATCATAGCTCTTTTCTGATATAGCAATTGTGATAGGAGCCATTTGATTATGAAATGCAGAAAAAAAGTAAAAATGAGGGTGTTACTTGTTTTGCATTTTACATTACCAGCTGATGATTCTTTGCACTTTACATTACCAGCTTACAAAAAAATGGTTTGCCTACAATTAAAAATAAGTCACCTTATATCTGTCTGAGAACTTCTTTCTAAGGAAAGGTGGATTTTTAAGTCCTCTAAACCAAACTTACTTGGCTTGCCTTGAAACATAGCATGCCTTTTAGGATGCTGAATAGTGTATGATGGGAGTATCTTCTTGCTTCAGGAAGTATCTGGGAGGGTTGGGGTCAGGCTGAGGATGATTCCAATTTAAAGCTTTGTGGAGCTAGAAAATTAAAAGCTGAAGTGCACCCATTAGTCCTTGTGATGGGAGGAGCTGAGATAAGCTTTGAGGAGAGCCACTTGAGACTTGCCAGGTGGGTCTGGCTGGAGGGCAAGGTGCTCAGGGCAAGTTGCTGGGCACCTTCGGCCTGACTGAGGAGATGGGCTTTTGCTGGCTTTATGGGTACACAGCAGGAGGGCACTGTGTGGCTGCTAGCAGCTTTGCTTGGGGCTTCAGGGAGTGAGAGAGGATTGAGGTGGTAGCTGGAGAAGAATGTCTTCACAGAACCAGCAGCCATACTGTGTTGACTCCTCTCTCCATTAATTTTTATGTATTGCTTTGGGCAGGGTCAGACCCATTGCATTTTTACTTTCAAAGGAAAAATTATTATCAAGTATATTTCATTTAAATATTAACAGTTTTTCTTTGTACTAGCTCAGAAATAAGTTTCTGTTTAAACAAGTTTTTTCACTGTTTTCAGCCATGCTAGATTTAAACCTTTCTGATTAAAATCAGATAGAATCTGATGTGCAGATACTTTCTCATTGGCTTGCTTCTCTGCTTGTAATTTAGCCTTCCTTGGGCCATGTAGATACTTTCCCTCCCAGTTTGTCTCTTACTCGCACCACTCATATTTTCCATATGTGTGTGTGTATCCTATTCTTTCTGTGCACATCCTCTCATCCTCTGTTGTGGCATCTTTTTTGTGTGTGTTCTTAGGAAAAATGAAATGGAGCTTGCAGTATCTTAACATGAGAGATGGTTTCCTGTGCTTGAACTATAAAGAAATGCTTCCTCATATTCACCGACGTGAGCACAAATATATGTTCTTGTTAAATTGAGGTAATAGGGCACATAAGTTATGGAACTTTTGAACCTAACAGAAGATTTTTATCTTCTGCCTACACATTAAAATAAGAATGTTTTTATTCTCAGCTGCTAAACACTCGCAGCATTTGTTGGATATAAGCATCCTGTTTTGGAAACATTGATCTACAATCGTTTAGGGGCAGGTACAACAGCCAGGATGGGGAAGGCTGTGAAATTCTAGGTCCGTTACTTCATAATATGTAATGAGTGGTGTAGCCTCTTTGCAGTCACCCATCCTGAAAAGTCCATGCTTGGGTTTTATTTGAATTTGAAGTCAAAGCCAGCTCAGAATCTGGGACTCATGCTTTTACAAGTGCAGTGTATTTTCTGCCTATAGAGTGTAATAAGAGAGTGTACCCAGTATTAAATTAAATGCTTGTAACAAGAAAGCATGCCTAATCTCTGACTAGCTTTTTCTCAAAAGATCACAGAATAGCTTGGCAACTTGACAGGTATAAGATCTTGTGTAGAAAAACATTTCCTGAACTTGTGTAAGTGTTGGTTACTGCCTATATGCTTCTCTTAGAAAAATAAAAAAGTACCTATCCTTGATATTCTGATGAAGTGACTTCATAATATACTGTTTAAAGCTTGTTTTTTCTCCTCACCTCTGTACTTCCCACCAAGTCATTTACTTGCATATCCCATTAAAGTGTAATCTAATTTTTTCTGTACTCTGAAATATTCAGTGTAGTCTAAATATTCATTGAGGCTAAATAAAAAATTCAAAATGTGAGTTAGACTCTTAATGAACACTAGAACTAATAAACTGGGCTCACTGCTGGCAAAATCTTCTTCTGCCTCACAAAAAACATTTAATACATTTAGGAAGCAATAATGTGATTGATACAATCATATCTGACTGAATCGTAGGGTCATACAAGGGATTTGGGTGGTTCACTTGTATGTAAGCCTGTTGTTTAAGTCATGACAGTCTTACAAAACTTTTTTTAAAAATGCTTAAAGCTTTCAGGTTTTCTGCATGGGTTAGGCAAAAGCTATGACTAGGGAGAACAAAACCCCACATTCTAAATTTTACTAGATACCTGGGAAGTGCGCTCAGGTAATCCAACTTACTATTCTAAAAGCAAATCCATACGAAGTTAAGGTATGCACTAGCCATGTGACAGAGGAATTAAGCATGGTTGTGAGATGAGGAAGAAGGCTGGCAAAGAGCAGACTCATCCTTTTTCTCTGGACTGTTCTTTTAATTCAAACATATAGAAAGCAAAAGATGAACAATGTGATTATTCAAATGCGATTTTAGAGATGGAGAGCTCGTGATTGGTGAGAGCCTTTTACTTGAGACCTGAACTTTGAAGGGCTGGAATTAGTGTGCTTTGGCTTTGTGAAATCTCATTCTAGAAGTACCTGCATCTTTGGTTATGCAAATTAAAAAGTTTCTGTAAATTTAGTTAAATTACAGTAGTGAAGATATGCATGGTTTTCTAATTAGATCCTTGTGCTGAAATATGCTGGTCTGGTTTAAGGTAAGAGTTAGTGGATGGGATTTCAGAACCAGTGGGTATTCACATTTTTTTACAGCTGATGGGAACGCTCTCATTGACTTCAGTGGAAATACAGTTGAAGCCAGTGTTGGATGCCATAGCATATCCTGCCCAAGAGCTCTCTTCAATTTGGAAAGGAGGGGTTCAGGCAACCGTTTTTTTCCCGAGATGTTTTGTAAAGTGAACCTGTCATCATGAAAAGCTTTCTGGGAATGTCACAAAATGTGATGCTCGTGTTGGGCGTGAAGGGAAGAGAGGAAAAGCCAGTAATACATGTCTGTCTGTAGTTAGAAATTAATCTTGCCTGATTAAGAAATGCTAGACAAAATCTTAGCAAATCAGCTTATCTAGGCATTTGAAGCCTGAATTGTATTAATGTTTTCTTTCTCCTTCAGCTAAAAGATTTTAATCGGAAATGAAAGCTGCTTCACTCAAACACTGAATTTGTCTAAGGCAAAGAAGACTACTTCTGTGCAGACATACACATTAGGTCTTGTGGTCTGCTAGCTGTTACCATTCTAGTTTATGTGATTCCCTGATGATTGAATAAAGAGGAAGAAAGTTGATTAGGCTAAACTTTCTTCTTATATATGTTGCTGCAAATATGTTGCAATGATGTTTATTATGATGTGTTCAACAGGAAACAAACATTAAATTATTCTAATCATTGTATCCAAAGATAAAAATATTGAATAAGTAAAAGGACTTGTTAAAATATCTTGAACCTAAGCATTACATTATGAAGAGGCAGAAACATGAACTTTTGACACTCATTCAACAGAAATTAAATTTTTTGACCATATAAAAAGATTTAAGAGTTTCCTCTAAGTGCCTAAACCACAACACTAATAAAATACTGTTCCTTTTGGTTGTTGCCGGTTGCAAATTTTTAAAGCCTTGAAAAGAGTTTAAATCCTAAACTCTGTTAAACTAATTTCCTCTATGCACTGTAAGACTGCATCACATCTTAGTGCCTACCAAATTAACCATCAGGCCTTAGAGGACCTACTACTATGAGACTGCTGAATTCACAGTGACGAGCAGCGTTGATGGGGGTTGTCATTGCTTAGTTTTAATTTTTTTCTTTGCTGATACGTTTGATCTTACACAGTTTATTTGGAGCAGTTTTTAAATTTTCTCTAAAGTGGCTTACAGGAATGGCTAACAAATGAATAAACCCTCATCACATGTGAATCCCATATCTTGTGAATTGAAATAAGAGGGAAGAATGGGAATAAGATGGAAAGGAGCTTATCAGAGGAAAATCCCTATTAATGCTAATAGCCACATGCAAATCATGGTTCTTACTTCCCGTTCCTAATTCCCAAGACATCTTGGAGCAGCCAGCTACTTTGCATGGTGCTGTTACAGGGTACAGGTCCCTGTACTCACCTGAAAACAGCTGGTTCTACACAACCATCCTGTTGTCAACCAGCATCTCCAGCATAACTGTCTTTGTGCAAGAGGTCTGAGTGCGAGAAGCATCAGCTGAGTTATTCAAGATTCTGATTCTTTTTTCTGAATGCGATAGAGCTGCCAGTGTCTTGCTTTGAAGCATACACTATGAGCTTCCTTATGTACTTTTCATAAGCCTAAAATGCTTTGTGCTCAAGGACTTCCTAGCTGTAAAAGAAAGTCTCATGCTGAATTTGCATATATGTGCATTATTTTGACTAATATATGATTCTGGGCACAGCACTTTTCTGTTTCTTTCCCTTCATGAATATATTCAGAATTTAGGGTATTTATAACGTGTAAAGATATTTTTTTATCTGTAGACAGCATCATACTGGGTACCTAGCAGGTTGAAACAATCTCCTCCTCTTTCAAGTTTAGATCAGCAGTCTTATTATAATCTCAGATATGAGGTTTTGATGGTTTTAAGGGATTAGTAATGGGATATGGAGATTTTCCCCTGCAGCACGTTGGTTCATTTAGGGTGCTTTTCTCTAGCAAATAAACATGCTGTTTGGTGAGCTCCATCACATTCATGGTGCACGGGTGGCCCTTTTATGATAAACAGCCTAAGTTTACACTTTCTTTGGCAGACCCTCTGGACAGACTAAGGATCAAATTAACAAGGGGGCTTGAACGCCCTGGGTTTCTTGAGTTGTTTCACAGAGTAATTGAGGGAGACACCAAAACTTAGTATTACACATTTTAAAGATGATGTTAGGGCCAGCCTTGAAGTCCAGCATTCTGTTTCCCGGGCTGCTGTTCTCTCACTTTCTGATAGAATAAAATGCATTTCATCCGGCATTTTGATACAAAATATATAAAAATAGTGGCCATATTTTAGGCAGTAAATTACTGGTGTCTGAGAAAGGAGAAACTTTGTCAGAGCTTGGATAATAACATGAATTCAAAACCCAATAAGATGTGGTTTGAGTGATGTTACTGCTGCCATGTTTGAATTTGAAGTTGTGCATTTTTCTAGGTGATGGAGTTTTACTGCCAGTCCTGCGAGACAGCCATGTGCCGGGAGTGTACGGAGGGAGAACACGCAGAGCATCCCACGGTACCACTCAAGGATGTGGTAGAGCAACACAAGGCTTCCCTCCAAGTCCAGTTGGATGCTGTCAACAAAAGGTATGGAGACTCCACTGATTATTTTCCATTTTCAGTTCTACCACAGGCTTCCTGTGTTACCTTGGGTAGATGTTCTAATGCACTGATTCCATGGACCTTTACCAAGAAAACAGGGATAGTGAGGCTAGCATAAGGAAAAAAATCCACTGGATGTGATGCACTGGGGGATTAGAGAAAAGAGCAAGAGATTCCTATCTGTCTTTCACAAAACAGAGGCCATTGGAAATGCAAATGTCCTCCAAAGAAGGGGCAGAAAACGTTAATGAAAAAAGTACTAGACAGTCATGAGTTCCATGATAAATAAATCATACTGGATGCTTAAAAGAGTAATACAAACATTATGGTGGCAGCAAGGCTAAAAAGGATGAAAAGGTGGGGTAGATCTGGTTATATCTACCTGAGTAGATACATTTACATAAAGGACAGAGGATCCAGTTCCTCCTTGTTAGAAATGCCTACAGTCTAATGGATTTCCACAAGGGAGGGCCCTGGCTTAGCCTTATTTTATCGGACTAAAACCACTATGTGGTTATAAAAGGAATGAACTTACTTCTGGGAAATGACCCGAGTTTAAAGACAGCCTGCTGATGAGATTGTTTCATCAAAAGATATCAGTGCAAGGGCCAATGTTTAATGACTTTTGAAACAGCAATCTTTGTAATTTAATCCCTCAGGCTTCCAGAGATCGACTCAGCACTTCATTTTATATCTGAAATCATACACCAGTTAACCAACCAAAAGGCTAGCATTGTAGATGACATTCATTCCACTTTTGATGAACTCCAGAAGACTTTAAATGTGCGAAAGAGTGTGCTGCTTATGGAACTGGAAGTGAATTATGGCCTTAAACACAAAGTAAGATGCATGTTTTGTTTCAATGAAAAGCTGTTAATTTAATCAGCTGGTTTTTACGAATGATGCAGGACGCCAGTTTGACAAATTATGTCTGAGATCCGGAGGAGAACTTTGTCTTCCTCAAATCAAGTGCTGCAGAGCCTCGCTTGTGGGTGCCCAGCCTTATAAATGGAATATAACCCTGTATGGGCAGGGGTAGCCTTTTGTGTGTGGTGTGTGAGGATCTAAAGTGGTGAGCACACTAAGCAGGCATCTCCTTGAAGCCAACATGCTGATGTGCAGATGACAATAAAGGAACATCAAAGGAAAGTTTTAAATCCTTGAGCTGCAATCCTATCCCACTACCCCCTCTCTCCCTCCTGATGATAACAGGCAAAACAATTTCTCCTAAAGAACAGAGCAAGGCTTACTGTTTTGCTTCAATGCACTGTTTTCTTTTCAAATGCCTGGTAACATATTTCATGTTAATGTCACTGGTTGGAACACATAAAGATTGGAGGGACATCTCACTTTTTCAGGGGAATGCAGAGAGCAATAGATTCCAGAGCTGTACTAACTTTTTTTTTTTACTTTCTATCTGGATGATTGAATCTTGTGTGTTCCCTCTATATTGTAGACTAAGCTTCAGGGGAAGAAAACAGAAATCTGCACTTCTAAAAGAGAAGCATGTCGCCTTGTGGGTAGGATTTTTGTTGAGGATTAGTAAATCTGAATCAGGAAAATCAAAGAATTTAGTCCTTGTCTTCCCGGGCATCAGTTGTCTGTCTCATATAAAAGAAAGATCTCTTCCCTCAAAGTAGCCTTTAAAAGAAAGTAGCATCAACAACTGGAGTTTCAGGAGTGCCTGATAATATTGGCATCTTTGGGCACTCTCTTCGATTACTGAGCAGCTTGAGCATCTCCAGATGTCTGAAGTGGAGGAATGCTGCATTCCTAGACCTGGAACAGGCTTGATCATTAGGAAGGTATTGAACTGCTGAGCCTGTGAAAATGGAGGAATTCTAACGTGCACAAGAAGTGTACTTTCAGGAATACAGGGAGCCCCAAACCCATGGGGCACAGAATTTAGTCATCTCCAGAGTTAAGCAGCAGCTGAGGAGCTTTCAGCATAAAAAATTTGGACTTGGTCATCTAAACATATCCCAAGATGTCACAAAAACTTATTTTCTTAGCAAGCAAATATACTCAGGGTGTGTGCAAAGTTCACTCAAGATGGAATGTGATGTTAAATTATCTTATTGTGGTCTAAAGGGATTTAAAAGAGCTTAAAAGTTACTTTGGGTGTTTAGAGAACCAGATTTTTAACAAAGCTGCATGTAAATAGTAAAAGAGGCATCTCCCCTGTTTGTATATGTCCTGGTTTGGGGTGGAGCAGAGCCAACTTTCTGTTAGTGAGAGATGCTCTTTCTTATCCTTGTTGCCGTGGCAACCAGGGCCCGCTGACTGGGTTGTTTACCCCATGGAGAGGTCACACCTGTGGGGAAGCATGGGCAGGTCGGGTGACCCAAACTGACCAGTGGGGTATGCCATCCCTCTGCCAGGATCAGTATAAAGGCTGAGGGATCAAAGGGGTCAAGTTGGCTCTTTCGTCACTGGCTCTCTTTCTTCCATGACTGATGCTCTGAGGAGGACTCTGTCACTTTGTCGACCTTTGATCCCAATCAGAGTGCTCCGGAATCTAGTTGCTATCTCTCACTGAGTCCAGTCTGGAGCTTTCCCAGTGCCTGCTGGTAACACCTCCCTGGGAGCTTGATACAGTTTTGTATATATATTATCTATTTTTCATAATTTCCTTTTTATTTTATTATTAATATTTCATTAAAGTAGTTTAGTTTTTCCTAAACTCATAAATCTCTTTCTCTCTCTTACTCCTCTCCTTGGAGTGAGAGGTGGGGGAAAGCATCTGTCATCTTGTCATTGGCCAACCCAGCCTAAACTGTGATGGTATAAAAAAGAGTGATTGGAATTGCATTTTATTTTTGAATGAATAGTAATCCTGCAAGATAATTCAAATGCAAATATTCTATCATTCTGATAATGTAATGCATTGGGTTCATGTGGCAAGGTTTTGGTAGCAGTGGAGCTACAGGGGCCCCTTCTGTGCGAAGCTGCTAGAAGCTTCCCCCGTGTCCGATAGAGCCAACGCCAGCTGGCTCCAAGACAGACCCAGCACTGGCCAAGGCTGAGTCCATCAGCAACAGTGGTAATGCCTCTGTGAGAACATATTTAAGAAAGGGGGGGCGGAAACTGCGCACCAGTAGCCAGAAGAGAGGAGTGAGAACATGTGAGAGAAACAGCTCTGCAGATGCCAAGATCAGTAAAGGAGGGGAAGGAGGTGCTGCAGGTGCAGGAGCAGAGATTCCCCTGCCGCCCATAGTGAAGACCATGGTGAGGCAGGCTGTCCCCCTGCAGCCCATGGAGGTTAATGGTGGAGCAGATAGCCACCTGCAGCTCAAGGAGGATCCCATGCTGGAGGAGGTGGATGCCTGAAGGACCCATGGGAAGCCCATGCTGGAGCAAGTTCCTGGCAGGACCTGCGGACCCATGGAGAAAGGAGCCTACTCTGGAGCAGGTTTGCTGGCAGGACTTGTGACCCCACAGGGGACCCATGCTGGAGCAGTCTGTTCCTGAATGACTGCACACCATGGAAGGGACCCACACTGGAGCAGTTCATGCAGAACTACAGCCCATGGGAAGGACTCATATTGGAGAAATTCATGGAGGACTGTTTCCCATGGGAGGGGCCCCACGGTGGAGCAGGAGAAGAGTGTGAGGAGTCCTTCCATTGAGGAGGAAGGAGTGGCAGAGACAGGTGTGATGAACTGTCCGCAAGCCCCATTCCCCATACCCCTTCACTGCTCAGGGGGAAGAGAGGGTAGAGAAATTTGGAGTGAAATTGAGCCTGGGAAGAAGGGAAGGGTAGGGGGGAAGGTGTTTTAAGATTTGGTTTTATTTCTCATTAGCCTACTCTGATTTTGATTGGTAATAAATGCAGTTCATTTCCCCCCATTGAGTCTGTTTTGCCTGTGACAGTAATTGCTGAGTGATCTCCCTGTCCTTATCTTGACCCATGAGCCTTTTGTTTTATTTTCTCTCCCCTGTCCAGTTGAGGAGGGAAGCGACAGAGCGGCTTTGGTGGGTATGTGGTGTTCAGACAGGGTCAGCTCACCACATGTACTTTTCAAAAATGAAAAAATGAAAGGGTTACACTTTACTAAAAGAAAGTTGGCAATTGTGTTTCAGATGTCCAATGTACTGAAAGAGTCTTTGTGTGTAAAATATTCTAAACATATTTTAAATATTAGTTATGATAGGATTTAATATTTTCCATCTTTGTAATGAAATAAAATGTAATGAAAAAAATATGTTGAGAAAATAATGATTTTAAAATGTAGCTGCAAATTGTCTTCCTTTTCAGTTTGTGGTTTGTTATCCCAGGCACATGGGGTTTTGTCATCCTGGGACTTCATAAGCTATGCTATCTATTTAACTACTTATGCCCTTGAATAAAGGCAAGGCAGATTAGAACTGCCTTGTGTTGAATCCTGGGACGTTTATAGATGCCTAGAAAAATAGATAGCTTGAAATTTCATTGTAGTCTTGAAATTTGTTCGTTCTCTTTTGCTTGCAAAAGATTTTGTGGTGTTATCACTTTCCCATATCAGTAACTCATCAGCCTAGACTTTCTCCAGTGGGTGAAAAGCAGATAGTTTTGTAAAATTCAGAAGAAAAATGCCCTTAGAATGCAGTGTCATTACATGGTGTCTCACCAAGGGAAGAGTATCTCATAGCAATAAATACACTCTCTAAGTTTACTTTAAAATCAATTGAAATGTTTCAAAAATATTTACTTTGCAGTGATGGTCAACAAAATAACCTCTCTCATCCACAGTAATGTCTGTGCCCTAGCTCTTCTCTGTAGGAAAAACATACCACATGTGTGACTGCGTACTTTGGTTTGGCAATTTTGTCAGTGGAGAATGTTGGGGGTAGCTGGAATGTTTGGGCTTTCCTGACTGTCATTAATTTCTCTGCTAGGTTGTTATAATTCAGGGATCTTTTTTCTAAGTCATTGCAAAACTGGTTTAAAAAAAATGTTAGCCTTGTTAGCCAGCCCACACCTAACAATTTTGAGTTCAATACCGTTTTAAGGATTTTAGACTGAGGGACAGAACTCAGCCTATAATAAAAGCTCTTTCTCAGTCTTAAATATAGAGCAGCTACTTGCTGAAACCAAAATTTTACGCTGCTCAACCCAACTCTTCCCAATATCCACAAACCATCCTTTACGTTTTGCTTTCCTGCCTGCCAAAACTGAGGAAATAACTTACTCTCTTCTGCTGGGGAGACTTTTCCTTTCTTCACTTATTTAGATCAGGAATCACAGTTTTCCTCTGGATAGATGTACGGATCTTGAGAGTGCCACCTGTCTGTCTCCATAGAGGAGTAAGCCAAGGTTTCCCTTGGCTCTGAAGAAACAGTTTCAAGAAGTTTCTTGCAGCCTCCCTTTTTAATGGGCCTGATGACTCCAAAATATCCCTATTTCTGTGCACACAGCTCAGTTCCCAATAACTATCTCATTAATTGTGATTGCTGAGAGTTAGATGGATCAGAATTCAAGCTTCTACATTTGGTTTTGGTTTTGTAGTTTGGTTTTGTGGGTTTTTTTTAAAGACGAGACAGGCAGGGGAATAATTCAGTCTAGAGTGACAGTGGATCTGTGAAGCCTTGAACACCCAAAACAGGGTAAACTTTTAGTGTTGCAGCATGGTATTTCAAGAACATGTAGAGCATCAATCACTGTGGTATTTTTTTTTAAATAAAACTTTACAATAAATTCTAAAATGAAACACAGTAGATTGTACAGAGGCTTTCAGATATAAGGCATGCTACCTCTTGTTGGATAGTTGTGATAACATGATGCTAATCTGCTGTTTGGTGTACACACAGGTCCTCCAGACACAGCTGGATACCTTACTTGAAGGACAAGAAAGCATTAAAAGTTGCAGCAACTTTACAGCCCAAGCCCTCAACCATGGCACTGAAACCGAAGTTCTGCTGGTGAAGAAGCAAATGAGTGACAAGCTGAATGAACTGGCCGAGCGGGACTTCCCACTGCAGCCCCGTGAAAACGATCAGTTGGACTTCATAGTGGAAACAGAAGGCTTGAAGAAGTCCATTCACAATCTGGGCACTATTTTAACCACCAATGCTGTTGCCTCTGAAACAGTGGCCACAGGTGAGGGACTGAGGCAGACAGTGATCGGACAGCCCATGTCCGTTACCATCACAACCAAGGACAAAGATGGGGAGCTCTGTAAATCTGGGAACGCTTACCTCACCGCTGAACTGAGCACGCCTGATGGGAGTGTAGCAGATGGAGAAATACTTGACAATAAAAATGGCACTTACGAATTTTTGTATACTGTTCAGAAAGAAGGGGACTTCACTTTGTCGCTGAGACTTTATGATCAACATATCAAGGGCAGCCCATTCAAACTTAAAGTGGTCAGATCAGCAGATGTATCCCCTACCACTGAAGGGGTTAAGAGGCGTGTTAAATCTCCTGGCAGTGGTCATGTGAAGCAGAAAGCTGTGAAAAGACCTGCAAGCATGTACAGCACTGGCAAAAGAAAAGAGAATCCCATTGAAGATGATTTAATCTTCAGAGTAGGTAGGTGACTTGTCTGCTACCTGTTGACATACTTAAAAACGGCTCAGGGAAACTGGATGAAAAAATTTAGAAGTTAAATTATTTTAAGGTTAAAGCTGTAAGTAGAGCAACCTGATAATACCTTTAGGGTTTTTGACTTTTGTTCATATGTAAATTTTAAAAGCACAAACTTCAGAAATTCTGTTTGCAGGGAATATTTGATTGGAATTTGGTTTGAGAAATGCATACATTTGATGCAGGAAAAAATATTTTACCACCTGTTCAGAAGAATATTGGGCATCATAAAATGAAAATATAGTAAGATTGATGCTTCAGATTAGATTAAATTACTTCTTTAAAAAGTTGTATGGCAAGAAGGGAAGTAGGAGGACTCCTTCTCTAAAACTATTGCCCTAAAGATTAATCTAACTAATTAACCTGGAAATATATGTGCTAAATCCTGTGGTCAAATATAGTTGTTCCATTATGTCAGCATAGGAAAAAATTATTATTTCCTTTATTTGCCTTTCCCCCCCCAATATCTAAATATGTTTGGTTCTTTATATAGTGTAATGTTATCTCTTAATCTGTGGACTTCTAATGCTTGGTAAAAATAGAACATCTTGATGTCATTTACTGTACATTTTTTTCAGATCTTTTGGTCTATTTCATTTTTAAGCTATATAATAATAATTTTAAAAGTCCGTATTTATTGTATTTATGTAATGTCTGCTTATATAGTTAGAAAATACTTTGTACAACTAAAGGAAAAGCAAGTTAATTCTTAATATGAACAAGTCAGGATTTCAGCAGTATGTGTTACCAAGTTTTACAACCAGTTGGCAAGGTGGCTTTCCCCTTTGTAGCAGAGAAGGAATGGTGGTTAATCCTAGCGGATTTTTAAGTAATTCTATTAAAAATTCATCTGGACACCATTTGTCAGTTGGTTAGCCATGTCCATCTGATTTCTTATCCGTCAGTATTTCTGATAAATTTCCTTGCTGTGATAAAGAGTACATGCAATAACATAATGGTTTTATATCAGAAAATGTATTCAGCAAGCATGCTTTGATTTCTGAATGAGACAGTACTATGTAAACTCCGGATGGAGCTACTCATAAAATGACCAGCCTTTCCCAGATGGCCAGTGCATTTCCTTGTAAGATAAATGACACCATAAATATAGCAACTCACAGCATGAGGCAATGATACCCAGTTTTACTGTCTCTAAGGCTAAGTTTTATGGTGACTGCTGAGTCAAAAGTTAGAAATACAGCATACAGCAATTCATACTGAAGTCAAGCCAGCCCTACTTGGCAGTAACCATGCTTTATTGTCCAAAGTTGGTAGATGACCTTTGTTAAATTAGTACTCTGACATAGCCCTTCCTCTCGTAGGAAGGTCGTCTTGCAAAAGCTATTGCTGTAGTCGCTGGTACTGGTTAAGTGTGGCAGAGGGTATGTATAAATGTAGGCTAGATCTTTTTTCTGCTCTATTTTGAGACAGGATTAAACAAAACTGTTAAGTATAATGTCTGAGCCCTGTCTAGAAAGAAATCATCTCTCCAATCTCTGCTGAAACAGTTGTGGCATGTTACAAGCTAGACAGAGAAGGGGTTGGATGGACAGATTGAGGCACAAAGAGTCTCTGCGCATCTGCAGCAGGTAGGAGCAGGATAGGAAAGCCTGCACCATGCCTGTGAGGAACAGGGAGCTCTGTTGCACATTGTGACACCTTCACTGGATGCTAAGCCCTCTTGTTCACATAGATCAAGCATTCATTTGTCCCAGTGTAGGAATCATAGTTCTAAATGCTTTTTTAAAAAAAAAAAATAAAAAATCTTAAAATTATTTATAGAAAAAAAAAGTCCTGAAATTATTTTAAAACTGTTAATATTCTTAGTAAAAACCATTTGGTATATTTTAAAATTATTTCAGCTTGTAATTTCTGCTTTTGTATCCCTCACTTGTAGTGAGCAATTTCTAGCCTATCAAATAGTGGTATGGCTCCAGTTTGGGTTTTGGTGGTGGTGGTGTGTTTGATTTTACTTTTTTTAACTATTCTCTCCAACACACCATAAACTCTAGAAGTCTTAAATGTTTTCTAAAAATTGCAGTGCCCTTTCTGTTGTGACACAGTCATGACCATGTGCTTCATTTTGGAATTCTGCCTCTTACCCTTCTTTACTACTCTATCCCCTTAAAAAAATAAGAGAAAATAATTAGAACAAGAGCTACACATGTCTCGAAGCTTTTACTTGATGAAACCTCTCAGGAGTGTCCACATTTGGGATACATGAGTCGCTATTTTATTGAAAAACTGAGCTCAGAGAGTACTTCATCCTACTCTAAGTTCAGTTCTCAGCCGCTCATTTCACAGAATGACTCTACTTAGAGATGTCCCTCTGGGCTTAAGTGTGTGTTGTCTGAAAGGTCTCTTAAGCCATTGCAGCTGTAATGCTCTAGCTTTTTACACTCTTCCAAATATGCAAAATTAATGAAGACGGGTAAAACTTCCGACATTTTCACAGGGATTGCCTTTATGGATTTAAGAGTTTGTTTAGTTACAGTTTCAGCTCACTTTGAAAAATTAAGGTTTGGTTCACTTGATGAGGTAATGTAAAATAAAGTTTATTGCTGTTTTCCAACACTATCGAGTATCTCTATTTTGAACTCATTGTTGAATTCCTCTGATAGCCCTGGCCAAATCTGGATTTTTATTTTAAACTGGGCAAGATAAGTCTTTTATTTGGGCTGCCAGAAGCTCATACAGCTGTGCTGGAGAACTGTATTGTAATATCCCTATGGGCATCCGAGTACACAGAGTATGCTATTGTATATATGCTTATATATGGGCTTTTATGCACAAGTAAATTGATTAGCTCCTAGCAGGAGATTGTTCTTGTGCTAGTATTCACATAGATAACGTTAATACAACATTAGTACAGTTAAGTGCTTTCGTTCATTGGGAATTGTGCATTGTATCTTTTGCCAATTCTATGTTATTCATGGCTTTTAAAATGGCATGTGGTTCTATTCAGATGTTTTAAGGTCAAGCTATTGACTGCACATTCATACATTTGTGTAATTCATTATTGATAACAATAACAGAGTGTTTCTTGCTTCCACCTCTTCTCTCTCAATAATTTATATTAACCTTTTTTTTTTATTCTTGGTAAACAGGTGTGATTTCTAAGAGTGTATCCATGCAGTATTTGTGTAGCATGTACTTAGTTTATACAAATGAAAACAAGAATATCCTTCTGATACCCAGAAAATAATCATTGCGCAATGTTTTTTTGCTACAAGTTGCAGGAAGCACTAAAGTGAGAGGGAAGGCTCTTTTCCATTACCTTGTTTTTGCGCCTTACATCCATGCTGAGCAGAGGTAAATGGAGGTGAGGGATGTTCACAGTGTCAGCCACTTCCACCTTTGCTGGTAAACCTCTCCCATGTCCTCCAAAGGAGGGTTAAGAGCCGTGGGTGGCATGAGTTAGCTGCTCTGTTCAGAATCCCATCTTGTGCACTAGCTCTGCCATGCCGTGCCGTATGCCTTGGTATTTTTTCTCTTCTGGCACTGTTCATGAGAGCGTTCTTTGACACCGTTTAGCAGTGGCGCTGCTATTTCCCACTTCAACTGCTTTTTCTCTTCATTTATTTATACTTGGGATTGGCATCTGATACAGCCAGATGGAGAGTTGGCTCTCTGCTAGCACGTTCCATTTTCCTTTTCCTCAGACTGTGTTTAGTTGTCTGTTCAGTCATGTATCTGAGCATCTAAGTTTAGCTGGTACATATAATGTGTGTAATTCACTTAGATTTAAAAAAAATTAGAAAAAAAGAAGTGACTTTAACAGTACCTTCTGTCAGCCTCCTTACTAGGTGTAGATATCATCTTCTGGTCTGTTATCAATGCTGAAAGCAAATAGGAACCTTATTGTTAATTTATTCCACATTAAAACTCATGCACAAGGCCTGTATAATAATAGCTTTAGTGCAGTTTAAAAGCAAGCTTAGGGGGAGCAAAAGGATTCTTGATACAGTGTTTCTTTAATTTTCTCTGACAGCCTCTCCCTGAAACTCTGCATTGTATTGTCCTGTTAGAGAGGAACAAGGCTGCCTATAGATAAATACTTTTTGAGCTTTACAAAAATACAAGCAGGTTATATGGGTACACATCTCCTTGAAAAAACATGTATTTTTCCATCTGCACTTAGCCCCCTTGTATGGATGGTCCAGAGGAACCTTCTCTGCATCTGTATCCTCCCATTTCCTCATCCCTTCTCATCCTTTCTAGCAAGGTCCTGTCCTGGCCAAATTACAGCCTGGCTAAGGGCACTGGAGAAGGAAGGAATGTGTGTGTAGCTGTTCCATATAGTGCAGAAGTATGATACATGAAATGCAGAGGCCCCTCTGACTGCATACCTGTATCAAACAGTGTCTGAAGAACTCTGACATCACATTGCTGATCCCAGCATGGGTCTGATGTCCTGACAACAGAGACTTGGTCTTTGTTTGACTTGTGTCATTTGGGGTTTTGCTGCTGTACCAGCAAAGAACTGCTTCTGGGGTGCACCTGTCCCTAGGATTTGTGCATACCTAGCTGTGATGGCAGGGGCTCTGCTGCGTAAGCAAGGCTTGGAGGTGGTCTTGGCCAGGTTTTTAGGGACAGATGCTGTGTAAAGCAAATTAATACAAATCAGCCCAAACTTCACTACCAACAGTGTGTAGGAGTTATCTGCCAGAGTTCCTACTGAATTATTCATTCCTTTTTAAAGGTTACAAACATTGTGTGCCTTCATCCAACAGACTGATTGATTTTAAAACTTAGATTTGCATGGGATCTTGGATTAGAAATGCTGACATGTATTTTACAGTAAGCACACAGCTTGTTAGCAATCTGATTCAGTGTAGTTTTACTACAGAGTCTTTTGTGTTTCCGCTGTATTTATTATGAGAGAGGGCATCACGTGCTCACAACGTGTAAGGTTTGACTAAGTGCTTTTGGTGCTCTGAGGAAAAAAAAAAAGAAATTAAGCTAAGGAACAACAAAACAACTCCTTGATGCGTGTCTATGCAGTATGTATGTAGACCTTTCCATGCTGTTTAGTTTTACCCTTTTTTAAATTACCACGTAGAGAACAGTCCAAGAAGTATTTAATGTGTTGTAGGCAGGAAAGAAATGATACTTAAGCAACATGTTATGGCTACTTAAAGCCTCTAAAGTCTCCCCATTAATCTGTAACCTTTCTGCAGGGTTTTTGTCTCTCTGAATCCATTCACTTCCTGCTGGGGGCAGTGAAATGTTTTTTTGGTGTGTTTTAGGAAGCTGATAAATCTAGGCTGGCAAGCAGGGAGGTTATTATTCATATTAATAAAACTTAGAAAGCAAAAAATGCTCCTTCTATTACTATGAGCATCAAAAGTGTACATTGTACAACAGGTTTGTCCAGATGCCCTGCACTTACAAAGCAGATTCTCCTTGCAGTTACGTGATGTAATTTTTAACATCTCCTGTGATGTTAATGGGCGTTTAGATTATTTTTTCCCTTCTATTTGGTGAGATTTGATCTGGCCTCTGTTATGCAAGAATAAAAGATTGAAATTATGAAGCATTTTATATGTGCTAAATTGTCTTGAGCTGAAAATTGATACTCTTTTGTTGAAAGCATATCGTCAAAGCTAAATTAATTGGTTTGTACAGGCTATGCTTAGAAATACCAGAAGGAATTATATTGGGGTAAGGCAAACCTGATTGTTTATTATCTGCATACAAAGATGGTATAAAAGGAGCTATTCCACAGGCCACATACCTGCTTCCTAATAACTCTCTTCAGCCTGGCCTTTTGAAAACTCTGCTTTCCTCTCCCAATCGCTGTCAGCTTGCCACAGAAGTTGCAGTAAAATGTCTGTCTTTTTCCTCCTTTGTGCCTTTGGTATTACAGAGTCAGTTGCAGGATCTGGCTTTTCCAGAGGCTGACGTACTTTACTTTCCTCTCATCATTTGAACTGCTGCCATGGCTTGTGCTTGGATTCAGATCTTTGCTGGCATAGTGTATTATTCAAATCAGAAAGTTCAAAGTTACCTGTTCTCCTCTTGAACATACATTAGGAAATAAGCTGTGTTTCACTAACCTCAGCTTTCTTCAGAGAAATTTGTGCCGCTCCAGAGGGGACTGTACAAAGGCCTGGGTGCAAATTAGAACCTATTCAATGGATTTAATAGCTGCAAAGCACTATGTGCAAAGATGTTGCATGGAGCTGAATTTCATCTGCGTGGTGTGTTAATATATTACTATTTCTTAAACTTACTGTGAAATGTGGCTATGGCATTCCTTGGCAATTTCTTCTATTTTTCCTTTGATGCATGTTTACAAGGTCCCACTGAAGAACACTCAGAGTAACTCTTTATGTAGGTCTCTCTTATCTTTAAAAATGAAATTCCTTGACTTTCAAGAACATTTTTCTAAGGGTAAAGAGCATACATTCCATAAAGTTTGTGCTAGTTGGTTCCAGATGCTCTAGCTTACGCCTCCACTTTTCTAACGAATGTTTTCCCTTTACTCTCAGTAGTAAAAGGAATGTTTCTCCCTTTTCATCCATTCTCTTTGGCTAAAAGGCAAAAAGGAAACTTATCATTAGCATATGGTGGAAAGAAATTACTGCATGCATCCCTCAGGCACTGCTCATTAAAAGAATACACAGAAATGGCTCGAGTATGGGTAATGTAATTGGTGTGTAACTCACTGTTCCCTGAATATGTACCTTCCTCTTGCAATACAGAAATTGAGAAGTATTTGCCTTGTTCAGTGGATGCAGCATATGGAGTAAGAAAACAAGCCTTGAAACAAAGGGACATGCTTGCAGCACCAAGTGCAGAGGAATTAAATGTTACTTGTTAGCCAGTGACAGGAAAGATGCATTCCACAGCCATCACCTCAGCAGAAAAAAGTGTTGTTAAGAGTATGCACCCCTAATGAAAGCTAAATACAGATTAGAGTTTATATGTATGTCTTATATTGGGCATCACAGAACAATTTTAATCACTGAGCTCGTGGATATTTTGGACTACAATAAAATACAAGTTTTTCAGTTGAAACTGTATATTGAAACCAATTAGTGTCTGATATGCAGCCAGTAAATGCATGTAAAAATATTTCACCAGGAAAAATAGTGCTGCGTCCAAGTCTTGGAAAGAACAGCTTGTAGAGTCTTTTTGTTTCAAAATTCATTCATTCATTAGGAATAACCTTGGGGTCCAAGATCGTAACTGCAGTCTTTTCTAAAGACCCCTGAGCCTCCTTTACAAACAAAGGAGGAATTTGGATACTGTTCCTGTGTTCTAGGTGTAATTTGGGCCAGGCACTTTAGGGCTGACCTTTTAAAGACATCGGTTTGCTCTGTGACTCTCCTCACAATGTCTCAGAACAAACATCTAAATAATGAGGCATCTAAACCTACTGAACTTTGGTGAAAAAATGACATTTTACAGCTCCTTATTGCCTTAAGCCACTGGGGAAAAGACTTACAGTTCTATGTAAATCACTACTGCATTTGTCCTGCGTAAAATGAGACCTCTGTGTGTGTATACTGCTTCATTAGAACAGTCTAATGCAGGTCTTTGCAAAAATGTTCAGTCTGCAGGTGTTGATTTTCGTGGCCGACATGTCCCAATCATTCACACCAGCTCTTCATCTGAGTTTCCCTTCTAAGGGGATCTTTAAAGCCTACACCTGTAAACTGTGTATGAGTGAATAGGAGACCTCCCTGTCTTGAAATGGCCCCATCCAAAGTGATCACTGATATGTTTTATCTCAATTTTGTGACTTCACTGGGGAGATTCAGCTAATTGTACTAAAGTCCTGTCATCTGTCCAGGTTCTTATCTTAGGCTCTGTCTGTATGTTCCCACAGTACCTCTCTGTCAATGCCTTCTCGTTGAATAAAAGTCCACAATTTAAAAAAAGTCTATCGCTTATGAAGAAACATTTTACTTGTGACCTCATGCAAGAGGCAAATCATGAATGCTTTGATCTGTGAATGTTAAAGAGGTTAATTACATTGATGGGGCTTACATGGCATAAATGTCAAAGAGTAAGAACAATCCTTTTTCTTACTTGGAATTGTGGATCTGTTACTGAGATACTTCTTTGAAGTTGTAATAGTGATAAGAACTCTTCAAAATGGAATAGATCAAGGATGTAATACGTGCATGTATTGGCATTTAGGTCCTAACTGATTAGTCCTGTCTAATCTGATTTCTTATGTACTTTGTGCTCAATTTTAGGCACCAAAGGAAGAAACAAAGGGGAATTTACAAATCTTCAAGGTGTAGCTGCATCTACAAATGGAAAAATATTAATAGCAGACAGTAACAACCAATGTGTGCAGGTATGAGGATATGCCACTTTCAGTATTTTTATGCTGCTCACCGCCCCAACACCTCTGCCTTCTTTATAATTCAGGAAAGACATGTTTTGTATAATTCAAGTAGATACAGAAAATACAGAGGAAGTTCAACTTGTTTATCATCCATTATCATTCCATCTTCTTGACCTGCAGCTATCTTTTTCAGATCTACACTATAGCTAGTATGTATGTCAGAGTTTATTTCCCTTCATTATGATGTTTGGCAATGAATGAAGAAAACAAGCAGTACAATAATCTGGAAAAATGCCTTTTTGTAAATACAATTTTACATTGTAAATTTATCATATTTCCAAATATAAATGTAGAGCAAGATGACACAAATATAATTTCTTAAACAAATACAAGTACAAAAATAAACATGTAGGTGTTTTTCAAATGGCTTTTAGTCTACTTAATTGACTTTTCTTTCTGATACCACGATCAAATCTTTTCTGTGGTAGCACCCCTGACATCCATGACTTCTTGGCTTCTGTAAGCTGTGTGAAAATCAAGCTGTGTTTTTTCATTTGCTTGCCATGTATCTTTTTTTACCATTAACAATTTGTCATCACTCTTCAGGCTGCCCATGTGGTAGCAATGAACAAGGCAGCAGCGTGTGGCTTGTTCTTCAGTATGTGAGAACCAGCAAGCCACATGCAGTAAGAACTCATTTCCAGGCCTTTTCAAAGAGACAGAGTCAAATATTCACCAGCACCCTCACACTTGGTAATTTGCAGCCACTTCAGACGAGCTTCAGTGTCTAATTACCTGGCTTGGGGACACAACCGGTGGACTAAATTTTGTGTAGCTAAAGCATCTCTCAGGAAATGGCGTAGTACTTATCCCTAAGTCAAATATTATTTTTTTAAATTCTCTTTTAGCCTCTATTCCTATAATTTCTACAGACTTAATGGTTGACTGTGGCCAAGTCACTCAGTACCTCAGTTGCTTAATTTCTAATATGGGAATAATACCACTTCCTTCCAGCTGAGAGGGACATTGTGAAGCTTAATTCACTAATGTTTGTAAAGTTGTTTGAGATCACTGATGAAACAATGCAATGTAAGTACAGAGAACTTCATTATTTTGAAATTAGAGTCCAGGTGGAAGTCCCTTCTTAAGTTAGACATATCACTTTCAAAAATGGGCCATGCAAAAGTGCTTCATGTGCCTCTCTCCTGACTATAGTGTTAATTAGTGACTTGCTAAAATCTAAGCTCCAAGAAAGAGATGATGTTATTGTGACTTAATTTTAAAATGAATGTTTTTTGTTACAGATATTTTCCAACGATGGTCAGTTCAAGAGCCGTTTTGGCATACGAGGAAGATCTCCTGGCCAGTTGCAGCGGCCAACAGGAGTGGCTGTGCATCCCAGTGGTGACATCATTATTGCAGATTATGATAACAAATGGGTTAGCATATTCTCATCAGATGGAAAATTTAAGGTATGAGTTACCACGTGAACTCTCCTGAGCTTTCTTCATCTTACAAAGGAATGCAAAGTAATGTTTTTTTTTGTCAAGAAACTACATAGTTTGGTTGTAACTTAGTCCAAATTCCATCGTTGTGATGTGGAAACCCATGACACAGCCACGTTGTATAATTAATAGGAAGAGGTCACAGCTGTGATGCTAATGTTACACCAAATAGAGACAGTATGTTCCATTTTACAGTTCTACACACAAGATTCTTGGATGCCTTTCCGTACAGTCAAGGCTAGCTAATGCAATCAAGTCTAGTTGGACTAGCTCAACAACCTTCATATTATTAGCATTCTGATTATATAGAAATGTGTGTGCATATATGTATATGCACACAGACAAACATAAAAACTTATGGGAAGGACATGAGGCTCTTTAGTGACATATGGAGGAGAAAAGTAAGGTAGCAGACTGATGATGATTTAATCTACTCATTTGATATGTATCGGCAAATGAAATGTATAATTTATGTATGATCCTGTTGGTAGTAAATGCAAGGAAGGGCAAACCAGGTTGTTGTTGTTGTTCCGGTGCTACAGCATAGACAGGACTGTTTTAGGTGGGGTGATGTGCACAGGTGAAAGGCAGTAATGTCTTACGTATTAGAAATCAGAAGTTCTGACAAAAGCGCACTTCTTATTTTCATAGCAACTCTGATCCCTTTAATAGGAGTAAAATAAGAAGGCAACTATACTACACTGATGCTTGCCAGCCTGTAAAATTTATTTTGCTTTGGTTCAGGTGCAATTCCAGAGAGAATGAAAGGTTGCCTCCTTCTGGTGCTGTTCTCTGAATGCACTTTGCCAAGTCTGGTGATGTGTGCTAGAAATAGCCACCTATAGCAGAGGTTATCAGTACCTACTGGTCAGTGAGAGAAAGGACCTGCAGGGAAATTTCTACCATAGCTACTTAGTTCTAGAGTCCTGCATTGGAGAAAAATTTCCTGTCTGGCTCATTTTCTGGCAGCCTAATCACCAAAAAGCTCAGGTCCTGAACTGCTCACATGTGTACCAAGAAATGGCCTTTCTTTGAGTAGTCTTTGAAGAGTGACAATGCTATAGCAAATAGGCAATTGTGCTTGCTTAGTCCTCAGTGACCTCCATCTGGGAAATAGACATGTGGATGCTTTTAAAAGTATCGAAGTCCTTTGTAGACTTGAAGCTAAAATAAAACAATACTAATATGCAATGCAAGTGTTAAAAAAATATAAATTACTTGCATTTGCAAAGAGTATGTGATTTTACTTGTGAAGTAGTTTTGAAAATGTACAGCTACATAGGAAAACCTTGGTTTTGGCTGAAGTCCTCGAACAAAATGAAGACACCAAAACAAAAGCAAGCAAAGATGTAATTTAGTTAAGAATCCAAATACTCTGAGTAATCTAAGTGTAATCTAAAGTAATCTAAATAATTATTAACATCTTTAATGTGAACTGGCATGGTCTGGATACAGAGCATGGAGGGCTTATTTTCCTTCCTTCTCAAGACATGCTGTAAATCCAGCACTTTGGATGGTGCCAGCCCTGGAGGAAAAAGCCACGGCTGTGCAGGAGCCAGGACCCTATGTGCTATACGCTACCAGCAGAGAGACAGGGATTGAAAAGAAATAATTACTAAGGTAGTTCCTCTGACATAGGGCCTAGCTTTGTTTTTAGTCAATGTTTTTGTTGGATTGCAAGAGCTATGTCAAGTTGGCAATGTTTGTGTGGTTAATAGAAGTTAATGCATCAGACTGTATAGTTCTTGGGACTAGACTGATATAATGAGAGATGAAACATAAATGATATAAAGTACTATTTTTCGATTGAATACAACAAGCTGTATTTATGAGAGAAAAATAATACGAATGTTTGTAGAAGCATTTTATATATGGGGAGCCAGCATAATCATACAGTTAAAGCACGGGTCATGGATGTAACAGATCTACCCTGTGGGAATCTGGGCAAAGCCTTGTAATTTCTGGTGTGCTGGCAGTGGTAATTTTCACAGGGGCTTTGTCAGATTAAACTGTGCAATGATTGCTAAGATACACAGAGAGATAGATAAAGGGATAACAGTGTTTCTCTTTAAATGACTGTGCCTGCAAGTTCATTGTATATGATCTTTGATGCAGGTGGTCTGCTAGTTGTTAACTCAGCATTATCAGGGGGCTGTTTTGAACTTAATGTAACTTTTTTTGGTGTTGTCCCTTTCTGTATTTACTTTAATTTACTCTCCCTTAGCGGTATTTTAATAGTCATGTGAGCCAGAAGGCAAATTTTCCCTGGAGCCAGGCCCAAGCATCTCTCTGATTACAATGCTGGACTGACTCACCCCAGCAAGCTCACTGCCAAGCAGAAAAGTGTCACCTTCCTCAGTTGCTGGTAGCAACAGAGACAGAGCTCCATTTTCCTAAGGCTGTAAAACTTGTATAATGCAGAGGTGGACAAACTCTAATCTTACACCAAGGTTACACCAAAAACATGAGTCTCTTAAAACAAAAGGCTATATAGTCCTGTGAACCTTAAAGCCTCAGATAGGGTCTTAGGAATTGGGGCTTCCATTTCTGCCTATGCCACAGGTCTCACAGGTAATTAGCGATCTTCCATTTCACTTCCCAGTGCTTCATTTTCCTCATCTGTAAAAGGTAGATAACAGTGCTCACTTCCTCTGCAAATTACCCTGAAATTGCATAAGAAAACTGTTAAAGGTGACATATTGCCAGGCTCAGGAGAGCTGAAGCAGTAGTATCAACTTTGGAGCCAGTGGTAGTGTTCAAACCTAGTGAAGGAACTGGAGAACAGAGCCAAGAGAATGATTCTTGGTCCTCTGAGGAGAGAACTACTTTCTAGTCTTGGAAGGGTTGTATCTAAGATAGCTTGTTATCAGCCAAACAGGGCTGCAAGTCAAGTTAAGATCAAGTTTAGATGAGTGGGAAAAGATGAAAGGAAACATTTTATCTGACAGACTTTTATTTTTGCTTGTCTCGTTAGAAGTAGTAAGAAGGGAGCTGCTTGAAGCTGGTTGCATGTTCAGATTGGAATAGTTCTGTGAAGTGTGGTTAAGTGGTCACAGTTGAATTAAGACAGTCACATGAATGATAAATCCATTTATTGTGTGAAATTGCAATGTGTGACAAAGCTGTATCACCATATTAGGGAAGTTTTCAAAGAAGAAAAGAAGGTATGTTGAAAGTCTGTAAGTTAATTCCTGATAATTGTGAACCTTTCAGACAGTGACAGGATTGGTGGAGTTAAACTAAGAGCCCTAACACACCTACAGTAGTAGGCTAGCTGACTTTTTTACCTCTAGGAATATTCCACAGTAGAATTTTTTCCACCCAGGTAGGGTGACTTTATAAACACATATTTGAAAACCAGTCTAAATTCATAAGAGCCTATAAAATAAGAGTCATAATGCCCTTGACTGAATTCAATTAAACACACTATTTGTATTAAGGTTTCAGATGATTCATTATACTTTATTCATTTCTAATGGCAGAAAAGTCTGAAATACTTCCATTCATACAAGTAACAGGAGTGACTGGGTTTCATAATGTTCTGTTCTAAATAATCAAACCTATAATTCCAAGAAACCTTCTGAAATAAAAATATACAAAGCATATGTTCAGCCAGACTCAGTAATGTGTCATCAGCATATTTTGATCTAAACTGGAAACAGAGGTTTTTAGTAAAAAGCACTGCAAACTCTAGCTAGGCATAATTTATTGCTGCCTGCAAATTATATTTTAAATCCTGGCCCAAGAATAGCGATTTTTATTACTCTTCTCAGCACTGAGAGCCCATTAATGTAGTACGTGATTTATTCCTGATTTTTTGGTGTATGTATTTATATGGGCTGGAAGACACTGTGCTCATGAATCTGAGTCATTTTTCCATAGGAATCCTGGAAAGATAGTAAGGATGTGGTGCAATGCACAAGCAGACAAACACACGGGCATCCCAGAGGAAAGAAGGGAATATGATTTAATCACCCCAAAGGAAATAAATCTACTGATTTGCATTTGGTTTATGTTTTTGCTGCTTTGTTGTTATGCAAAGCTGAATACATTTTGTAAGACTGCTCATATCTTTCCTCTGGTGAACACAAAGTCATTTTTAGTAGTTTTCCCTGGGGATATTTTAGCATGATTTAATTAGGTGGGTTTTGCCTAAATATTTGGCAATTCTGAACAGCACATGTACCTGAACATAAAACAGCCACGTGATCATTGCATGTGGCTAACCGTAGTCTTAAAGCTGCAAGACTTACTCCCTGGAGTTTTCTTTATTTAAACTGAAAGATGTTGTGTAGTTATGCTGGTGACTTTGTACTAGACAGCTTCAGGGAACCTAGGTGGCTTTGCTTTGGGATGGCTCCTATTTTTAACCAGCAACCCCACCCATCAGAATGTGCCATGGAATAGGAGCATGGAGCTTACCAAGGGTAGTTGAGTTCCTTCAGATACTAACATGGTTTTTTGCTTTGAAAACATTGGGGAATTGAAAGAAATGAGTTAAGTAATGGATCATCTCCATGCCCCATAATCTGTCCCATCTTGATAGTCAGTCACAGGCTAACAGACTATCACCAAGTGGAGGAGGAAGGGGAGAGAGGCAGAGAAGTCAGAAGCATTGCGTGTTCTAGGTGGTGATCTGTCCCACCCTGCACAGGCAACGAGGTGAAAAATGCTCATTTCATAAAAATGAAAATATCTTAGTATCTATTTCATTTAAATTTCGATGGAAACAGGAAATTATGTTCTCCACTGAAGAGATGGACCTCAGTCTGTAGGTTGTGTCTTGCACAAATTACTACAGGATCTGAAAGTTCTGGGTTCTATAATTTCAACACAGTCTGTTGGGTGGATTGCCTGTCCAGCAGAGTAGAGAGGCTGGAACCAACCTGGATAACTGCTTCCAAATCTGACCATCATTTAAAAAAAGCAAACAACCAAAACCAGAAAGCAAGTTGCTACATTCCAAAAACAAAACTCCCAAACAATTAGATGGTATTTTTATAACCTTTTTTTTTAAATGAAAGGTCAAAACTCAACTGATTATATGTAGATTAAACCAGTTTCTAAAATCTCTGCCTGAAAAAAACGAGCAGAATGGTGAAAAATCTGAAATGGGTTATGAGGTGATCCTAGAATCTTCCTGGCTATATACCCAGATAGCTCAACAGTTCTTTGAAGGATTTACGTCAATTCTTGCACAAATTACTACAGGATCTGAAAGTTCTGGGTTCTATAATTTCAACACAGTCTGTTGGGTGGATTGCCTGTCCAGCAGAGTAGAGAGGCTGGAACCAACCTGGATAACTGCTTCCAAATCTGACCATCATTTAAAAAAAGCAAACAACCAAAACCAGAAAGCAAGTTGCTACATTCCAAAAACAAAACTCCCAAACAATTAGATGGTATTTTTATAACCTTTTTTTTTAAATGAAAGGTCAAAACTCAACTGATTATATGTAGATTAAACCAGTTTCTAAAATCTCTGCCTGAAAAAAACGAGCAGAATGGTGAAAAATCTGAAATGGGTTATGAGGTGATCCTAGAATCTTCCTGGCTATATACCCAGATAGCTCAACAGTTCTTTGAAGGATTTACGTCAATTTCTGCTTGCTCTGAGCTGGATGGGATGCTGTTACTTAGATCTGCTTCTTAGATCCACTTCTTTTTGATCCTACTAAAGAATGCTTCTAACATTTTCTGATTTATTTTGACAGCTCTCTAGGCTTTCCAAATAATTCACTGTGAGTTCTACCTCACCCCCACTGAAGGTTTTTCCATTGATACAATATGGAATATTGTATACAGTTCCCCTCCTGTTGCTTATCATGCTGGCAGATGTTTTTGGTAGTCACGAGACCTATTTACAAAGATGCAAATAATTGTATTTACCTAAGACAGGAGCAAGCTTTGATTTGTTTCGTGTTTCAAATATTACTGTATTTGCTGTTTGGCAGCACGATCCTATCTCCTTTGCAGGTTTCAGCTGACACTTCAGGTGTCAAAGCAGCAAGTGAGGCAATCTCATGGGGATCTGGTGAAAGATATAGAGGCCAGCTTGAGCTTTAGCTCCACTTAATTTCTTTCCAAGAGCACTTGGAAGCTGCGTGGTGTCTCATAGCCTACATCCCACTCAGCTCTGATGCTCCCAGAGTGAGCTCCAACTGCTTTGATGCACCAGGCAGGGCTAAAGGCATGTTTCTCCGTCCATAACAAGGCGGTTGCAGGATTCAGGAATAGTATGCAATAGGAGGCAGAAGTCCCTTATGTCTGTCTGCCTGCCCTGCTGGTACACTAGTGCTGGCTATACAGCCACTTGTGATGTTTCTGACAAATGCTAGAGTTAATCAAGACATATAAATCTGATGATTGTATTTCTCAGGAGTTGTATATTTGGACTCAGCTCCTGAGATGCCAGATTTTCCACTCTACAAAGGACATACAGAAAGCAGTCTTTATTTTCAGCTGAAGAAAAAATTATGACATGCACAATAAGAGCTGATAAAAACTATCACTTACTCTGGGAAACTTTTTATGGCAAAAATGTTTCTCTCCATCCCCCTGTGTGCCTATAATACAACCTTTGAACTGTACTAACTTATTTCTGTCATGCCAACGTGTTTTCCTATTCTGTGTTTTCGTTTTTAGGCCAAAATTGGGTCTGGAAAGCTCATGGGCCCTAAAGGTGTTTCTGTGGATCGTAATGGACACATCATCGTAGTGGACAATAAAGCGTGCTGTGTCTTCATCTTCCAGCCCAACGGGAAGATAGTCACCAGGTTCGGTAGTCGAGGAAATGGTGACAAGCAGTTTGCAGGTACACTTGATGGTAATATGTAAATCCCCTTTTCTTGCCTCTTCTGCTCACATTTGCATGATGTTTGAGCATGTTGAAGACGCTATATCCTACTTGTTTTTCCTGGGAGGGGAAAAGCCCTACTAAACAAAGAGGTACTATTCACTTCACCAAGTTGTTTAATTGGTCAGGAAGGCTGCAACATCTGTTCTGCAAATGTAGCTGTAACCAGATTGTTTTATCTACCTCTCTGTGCCTGGAAGCATTTCAGATCAGTGACCCAAGAAAGACTGATCTTAACTAGCATTTTATAGATGCTTTGTAATGCCCACACTCAGCTGTTTATGATAATCAACTCAAACACTGTGCTTGGTGTTTCCAGTGATCAGATACACATAAACCAATGCTCTTAAGTGGCATCTTCCACTTAGATGAGTGTAATGGGAGAGTGTTAATATTGAGATCAAGAAGACTCAGTTATGCAAACAGAAAATGCCGGTTTGGGGAAATTGCCACTTATATTCAACTTAACCGTTTGCACATGCTGTCTTTCAATTAGAACATGCAATTAAGTTAAAAAAAAAAACAAACCAAAACCCAACTGATATATTTTGAGTGAATAGCTGTTCTTTCAGAATTTGAAGTGACGATGCCAAATTACACATGCAGGTCATTTTGCAGGTGTTGTGTCACTCTGAGTAAGTAGTTATAGATTGGTCTGATGTTCTTGCTGTTTCACAGCACAAGAAATAACATCAGTGGTATAAATGCCTTTATCTTACTTGAGATTTCTTGCGGTGTCTTATGGCACAAGTACCATATATGTATAATTTATGAGAGTTTTGGCTCCAACACAGCTAAGCATCACCAAAATTTTCAGGGTATATCCAGTTTCTTTAATTTCAAAATTTGTAAGAATACCTCCTGGAAATAAGTGTGCAAACACTCTTTAACAGTGCGTTAAGAAATGTATCACCTTTTCTTGGTGGTAGGATACATAAAACAGGTTAATTGTTATTGAATGTTTTCAGTTTTCACCCTTTTTATAGGTTACACTGATATGCTGTGAAAATTGAGTTCTGATCTGCTTAGTAAATCAGAATAGTACCAAGTGTTTTGATTCAGCTACTCTCCTGTTTTCAAGCTACCATTTGTTTTTTATTCCAGTTTGCACACACAGTTCAATTCACAAAGTAAAGCAAAAAATTCACTTTATTCCCTGACATTGGTGTTCTAAGTGACTTTTGTATTTATCTTAAAACTTGTTTGCTCACACAGTTCTGAGAAATGAGAACAGAAAGCATAGCAGATTTCAATTGAGACTTTACATGAACATTTTTGAGAACTATTTTCAGTGTATACACAACTTTATGCCTAAGCACTACATGTTTTGTCATGCTAATAAGCCCATAAATATCTACATAGTCATGTATATATGAGAGAGGAAGGAATGAACAATGCTTACTGCTAACACTAGCTGACAACTGGTTGAAAAAGAAATTATTTATGTTTACAGAAAGGCATGATGAGTTTTTAAAACATGAAATGAAATTACCCTTAATTTGAAATTGATGTTCCCAATTTCACTATTACTGCTCAGACCCAAATATAATATTCTGGCAGGCTGAATGTTTTTTTTTTTACTTACGCAAACTTTTTGTTTTAGTGGTATTATTATATTTTCTTTCTTTGTATTGCAGGTCCTCATTTTGCAGCTGTAAACAGCAACAATGAAATTATTGTCACAGATTTTCATAATCATTCTGTCAAGGTACTGTCATTAATGGCAACTTAGAATGCTTTTTATTTTATCATGGTATTTTCTTGGCGAAAATAAAGTATTATTGAAAACAAAGGGATCACGCTCTATATATATGAGATCTGATTTAAGGACTGCACAGAGACAGTTGCATGCAGCGCATTGCTTAGTGGAGATACAGTTCGTTGCCTTTGGTGCCACTATGATGATCTGTAATTCAATTGCTTAAACATAAATTGTACCTGAGATAAATAATATCAGCTTAGTTGTTTTTATTAACTCTCCGCCAAACCTGTTATTTACCCCATGTTCTTTCCTAATTTAAGTAAGTCTGGTAACTGCTTTTGAATTTCCCAGTAAAAGCTTCTCACATTTCTAGTTGAATAAAATTATAACAATCTTTAATTCCATACCAATAAGCTTGAAGATTACTGGGTCCGCTTACAACCTGATACTCGTATGACCTGTGTAATGCATACCATTGGTTTTCATCCAGTACCCCTGCACTGGGCTGAACTGGCCACTAGTCATAGAATCATAGATTGTTTAGGTTGGAAGGATCTTTCAGATCATCTAGTCCAACCATTAACCTGATACGGACAAAAACCATCACTAAACCATATTGCTAAGCTCTATGTCTATCCGTCTTTTAAATACCTCCTTACACCCATGGGAAGTCCTGGCACATGGCCTGGTGAACAGTCATGGTGAGATAGGGTGGTATATTTGTTTGTCCCAATAATAAACCGAAACAAGGATATCTGTTGAGATGTCACGTGGTGGAAAAAGTACATGAAGGAGCTACAGGCCATTTCAGAAATTGCTCACCTGTGCGTGTTTGTTTTCAGGCCATGACATTCCCTTTCAGTCACTTTCCATGCTCTTTTTCCCTCCCTGAACACGCAGCAGCAGCAGGAGGAGAACACGGGCAGCAGAATGCTGGGTTCTCAGGCCATGTGTGCCAGTCCCACGCACCATTGAAATCCCTAGGATTTCACCTAGTGGTGCCTGGTCTGATCGGACACAAAGATGAACCCTCAGTTCTTCAGTGCTCATAACTGAAATGATAAAACCTGTATATTCACCTGAAATAGGAAATCACTGCACAGACACCCTCATGTCCTGAGCAGTGCTGAATCATCTAGCTTTTGAATAGCGACCTTGTATCCTTTTGGAATTGGAGAGGAAGTAGCAGCTCATGTGGTTTGGATTACAGCACAGAAACCAAAATTGCTGCAGGAGCCCTAGAGCAGACTGTTCACCTGGTTTAGCAGCAGGAGGCCTATGACTCCATAAATTACCCCTCCATCAGTAGGGCTTGCTGTGGTAACAAGAATGCCTGGAGAGAGTTAAGAACAAGGGCAAACTAAAATGAAAAAAAAAAAAAAAAAGGCAAATTAAGAGATGTACGAAGTGTGGCATTTTACTGAATTTATAATTATTGCATCCCTAATGAGAACAGAGTGTTCCCGTCTGTCTCTGGTGTGACTCAATGGGATAAAAATGTTATTTGTTACAATTTGGTACTAACTGGAAAAGATTCTGTTTTTTGTAGGTGCTCTCTAAATTGGAACAGATAATTGTTGACACTTTGGAGAGTAATTTATAATCTGGGTGATGCTGTTACCTGTTGTTGTTAGATAATGGAGAAAGAACAGAGAATACATTTTGCTTTAAATAATAAATACATTTATAAATAAATAAATACATTTCAGACTTGCGAGTGCCAAAGCCTCTCCCTGCCACCAGTGTCTTGAATTAAACGTCCTTACTCAGCATCATTATTGTTCCTCCTCTGTTGCTCTTCAAGCACATTTCCTCCTTCAGGCATCTTCTATGGAAAATCCTACTCAATATAGGCTTTTCTCTCATTCGGTCACTCACTCCGCCCATTTTAACCCTTGGAGAGAGCAATACATCATTGCCTGTGTTTTTTTAGTTAGGTGACTTTTTTTCTACTTTAATCATGTGAGGCACCAACCTGCTACTTCGTTACTTTCCTCCCTCCAATGCTTTTTCTCTGTTCACTGTAGGTATTCAAAAATAGGATGATTTCCTCACATCTTCCACCTTCATAGCCCTTCAGTGTGCACTTGGCACTTGTCAGGTCTTTGCATTTTCTTGTGGAAGCCACGGTGGGTCTCTAAGAGTGCTGTTGGACCTTGTGGCACAGCTGAGCCTGGGTCCCAGATGAACCAAAATAAATAGAGATGGCTCTGGTACTATGTAAATGACACATCCAGTATCTCACTTGGTCCCATTGTTGCGTCCAGGTCACAGACAGAACAGTCATTGATCATTTCCATCTTTCTGCTGTCTAAACCTGTTACCATCTCAGAGAATTCAGTGTGTTTCTGCAGCACTGACTCCCAGTGCTGTATCGGCATGCAGCTCTTCTTAATTCAAGATGCACAAGCTGCAGGAGGATTCCTGGGGCCCTCCACCTGTGTGTCTGAGCTGAATAAGACCTTAAGTAAGAAGCAAAATTATGGAGTAGTGGAGGTAGAGATGGGCACCTTTTCTTCCATCTTCAGTCTGGGTGGAGTGTTCCTGGGAAATCTGCAATTCCCAGTTTTGTTAACAGGTGAACTGGTAGTAGTAGGTTACTAATACTTGATATGATGCCATACTCAGGTTGTTGTTTTAACCCATACAGGTATTTAACCAGGAGGGAGAATTCATACTGAAGTTTGGATCGAATGGAGAAGGAAATGGACAATTTAATGCACCGACTGGAGTAGCTGTAGATTCTAATGGAAATATTATCGTAGCAGATTGGGGCAACAGCCGAATACAGGTAGAAATTTCTGTATTTCAAAGGTGCTTGACTAGGAACACTAATGGATTGATAACTCTGGCCACTGAAGTTTTCAGATTTCCCAAGAAACAGGATAGCATTAGAAGTGATGTGGTTTCTAACACAGCCTTTTAGGTGCCTCGTTGCTGGTCTGCCCGCTTTTAGAACTGGTGGTGTCAGATCATGGACTTCCCAGTCTGACTGCCAGCAATTCTGATGGTTACTGTGACCAAAGCTTTTGACTCCCAGTAGTTCCCAAAAGCTATTTGATGACTTAGGAGACTTGCAAGCATTGCTGAGGCCATAGTAATTTATAATCACCATAACAGAAGACTGGAAACATGGTGGAAAATATGAAAAAACAAATGATCAGTATAGACCCTAAAGCAAATGCAGCAGATTTTTATCATCTTTTTTAAATGTTGAGAAAATATTCTGCTTTTGAGTTATGAGGGTTTCACTCTTTTTATCTTGCAAGTGCTAATCACAAAGTCTTCTTATCTGCCAAAGAATACCTAATAATGAACTAAGTGTATATATCAGTTTGCACTGAATATAAAAATGAGGGAGCTCCTCATGAGTTGTTCTCAGGAAGCACTGTCAACAGTGTAAAACAAATTCCTGGTTTTCTTTGTGTGGGAACGTAGGAGTCATGCTAGCCACAGCAGTAATATTTGTTAGGAAAACAAGGTGTGAGTTCCTGATTGAGTTTGATTTATTGTAGTTGGCTATTTTTAGAACAAGGAACAAATGAGGTGCTCTTTTTATTATTATTTCATTGCATGTTTAATTCTTGCCAAAGATCCCGGCAGCTTTAATTAGTTCTTTTTAATAAGAAAATACATTTGTATATAAACGACTATATTATGAGAATAACAGATCAGATTCTGCCCTTGTTTATTCTAATGTACGTCAACCGTTTCAGAAATGAGAAGTATAATGGCATAATTGAGAGCAGATTCATGTCCGCTGTTTTTCTTTTTTATTGATAACATTTATTCTGTGCTTTCTCACCCTCAAAGGTTTTTGATGGAAGTGGATCATTTTTATCCTACATTAACACCTCTGCTGACCCACTTTATGGTCCCCAAGGTCTGGCCCTTACTTCAGATGGCCATGTTGTAGTTGCAGACTCTGGAAATCACTGCTTCAAGGTCTATCGATACTTACAGTAGCAATGAGCTCTGGAGCTGGATAATCATCCACCCTTGAGAAAAGACTGGTCCTAGAGATCCAATGCAGGATATCTCCTACTTTTGAGTTAATTTTTAATGATGAGTCTTTGATGGACTTCTGTTAATTTCCAAACTTACCTTGTTTACATAGGACTCGCACCTCTTAGGTTTCTCACTGAACTTTTTGTTGTAAGGGTTAATACGCAAAATCCTCTTTAACTGAATTCATAAAGACAATGGGATATTAAATGCAAACTGCAACTTATGGAACTGGAATTAACTAATTAGGCAAAAATAAGAAAAATTTGGGAAAAGTCCCCAAAGCTTTTTGAAGACTGCGAAGGGTAGCTCCTGCTCAGAGCTTCCAATTTTGAAGTATCTTTGTTATGCATTATTTAACCCAGAGGTGATCCTGGGAATCTTCTAGATCTCATTATCACGGTAGGTATTACACTTTTAACATTCTTCAGTCTTACTATCTATAACAAGTAGGTCCTTTTAGTATAAGGTTAAGTCTCACAAAATCCATCTAGCTCTAACCGTCAGACCTAACACAGCTCAACATTTAGCACTATGAAAACCAATGCAAATTCCCTACTCATGTGGGATTAATGAAGGATTGTTTCATGTGCTTGTTTTTCACTCTTCCTCTTGCTCAATGTGCTGGAAGGACTTTGCAGAGACCTGACATTTCTACAGCTCTGGAAAAAACTTAATTGTAGTGATACATTAGTGAGAGCTGAATTTCTGTATAACGACAGACCTTTTGACACCAAACTAGTTCATTAGGATCAGGGTTATTACAATGTCAACTCAATTAACCTCATGTGTGCCACTCTTTCGTGTATGTTCATTGCCATGTTTCCTTAAGGCAACTCATTGTATTAACCAATAAAATAAAATGCAGCGTCACACAGGACAGAAAGCCAGAGAGGTACCCCTATGGAGGACCTACATTATACAACCAAAGGAACTGTAGTAAACAGAGGTTGTATAGGAAAACCAAGGGTTACCAAAGCTATTTGTTTTTACATGAGAAAAATATGTAACAAATAAGAATGAATTTGATGAATTTGAACCAATTCCTGAAGTCCTTCATCAAAGGGAATTTTGTTAGAGGACAAAATAAGGACTGTGAGATTTGTTCTGATTTGTTTGTTTGTATGTATGTATGTATGACTGATTGACATGAAAATAAATAAAAGTTAATGTAGGTTATTTCAGCAAACTGGAACGTATGTATGCCATTTGACAATGGCAGTACTCTGAAAAATGTCCCTCCTCCTTCCTGCCGGATCTCTCTACTGTGTTCTTTGTTGAAATATTAATTTAATTGGAAATGCTTACAATCATATATGACTTGGTTCTATTTTTAATGTTTTGTTTTGTTTTTTTAAGCGTGGACTTGTCCTTTTTAAAGTAGCACTGGCTTTATTCTTATTTCTAAATCAAAGGTCAAAGGATGATTTACTACCGTAGCCTAATCTAGAGTGGTGCTCACTCTTAAACCTCATTCGAGGAGCTGGTGAGCTTCCTGCCAATGCCTACAATAGCCTGGGAAGTACTGTCTCTCTTTTCTCATTTTTAGGGCCTTGAAACAAAAGGGCATTGGGTCGGGCACAAGGTAGTATTTTAAGCATGTTTGCAGAATGGAAAGGAATCTTTGTTAAATTACTTGTTATAAGTATTTGTCTTATTTCTAAAAGGTTAAAGTTGTTGTTTCAATGAATTTGAGAAAAACTAATGGTTTTTTTGTAAAGATGCATTTGACTTGTAAAGAAGTGCAGACCCCAAGGTTCTTAAATATGGACTTTGTCTGTTTTTTAATTACTGTTTCTTAAAGATATTTCCTCTTCTTTCCCTTGTTTATTTTTTGCACATAGAGTCAATTTACAAATCCTCATGTAAAGATAAGTTTCCTTATTTCATTGGAATAAATGTAAGGCTTAAGGTTTGGACTATATAATGCAGCTAAGAAACTGGTGGTAACATTTCTGAAACGTTGAAAATCAAGTTTGTTATTACCAAGAGAATAAAATATCCTCTGCTTGAACTGAGTTTGTCCTAAAATTCTGAAGACGATATCTCAGTCATTACACAATAAACTGTCCTATCAAAATTTAACAAAGTTGTAGATCAGATTTTCTGATGATCAAGTAGTTTCTTTCTAAGTGTCCTTACAAGCAACCTTCTGGCAAACAAAGAATTTCTGACATTGGAATACCCTTAAATGGCAAATTTATCAATGAAGTAAAGGTTCGTAGCATTTTAACTGTATTTATTAAGAAAGAGAAGAGGTTGCATAGGTTCTTTGAGATAAAAACTTGAAACTGAAAAATGTGCTGTGGCTGTCAGTTATGGATTAATCAAATATAGTTCCAAATTTGCTTTTTGATAATAATATTTTACTAAACTTGCATGGTTTCTATTCAGGAAACATTGCCAAATCCTCTATTGCCAGGAACCCTGAGAAGCACGGAAATCAGACCCTAACCTATATATTAAAACATATACTTAAGATTGTTCCATATATACACTTTTCTCCCAAAGATTTTCAGTCCCTTTGACTCAGTATTGTTTAGCAGGATTTTATATAACCTATGTCAACCCAGTGCATCCTGATGAAATACAGCATTCTGCACACAACCCCCTCACAACCCAGCTAACAGCTATTTGGGGTGATGTGGATTTTTTTCTTAAGATTGAATAGTCTTTTGGGTTTTCAGACATTATCACCAAAGCAGCACTTACTGCACCTGAAACATGTCACTAATTTGGAATTCCTTCTGATAGCAAATGCTGGCAACTGCAATTTCAAATTCAGTAGCATAGGGCATTCCCTTCCAGGGTCTGACCTTATCTGCCTGGCACCGGAAAACTAAGAAACATATTGCTTTTATGGTGTGCTTCTGAAGCCAATTTAGCTAAAATGCTTGGCTTACAAACCTTGCAACCAAAGCAGAAATTCTGTTCTAAAAAACTGGCCAATTTTTTTTCTCATCCAATTAAGTGAACATCAAAATGGCACTACTTGATTTGCTGAGTTGTTAGCATTTATTAAAGGCTCTATAGGCATTCTGCTGCCAGATTTCAGGTATAACCAAATGTTCCCTTGACTTTCCTGGAATGCTAATTGACTAGCAGCACAGCATGAATGGTGAAAGTATATGCTTCATTTAACTAATCTTCAACTCAAAAGTAATCTCAAAAGGTTATCGGATCTTGTGTAATTTGGAGTATTTTAGGACAAACTAGTCAACTGCATGTTCATTGCTTTGTGAATGGAATAAAAGGATCTGTTCAGATAAATCCAATATAAACAGTGGGGAATTTTTACATAGGCTAAACCAGCAGCAATGTAGCTGAAAAAGGGAAATGGTTTAGGCAAGCATTTGCCTGAAATAGATGGAGAGTTACTTACTAGTAAATGCTCTTCTGTTCTGTAAAAACTAGAGGGCTTTTGATTTTATCTCAATATTTTTTATAACTAAGGATCTAGTGTTGCCATAATAAGAACTACAAGTGCCCAATATGTTGTTTGCAACAAAGAAATGACTTTTGGTTGTGGGTGACAGCTAGTTATGAAATCATGATGTATATTTCAAGAATTATGAACAGTGATTGTTTTGGCCTGTTTGTGGAGAGTGCGCAAAAGGTATTTGTGCTTCGGAGTAGGAAGAGTCCTAATGGGTTGTGTTATTTCCCATGAATGTACAGCACTTCAGTTGATGTTTGTGAGCAACACGGCCTTAACCCTGACTTTTGCTTGGGCTTCATGACATGGGAATGTTCCCTGATGTGCATAGTGTGTGGCAGTACCCCCAGTTAGAAATCTCTACCAGTTGATACGCTGCAGCTTTCCAGTTCTAGGAGGAAGTCTGTCTGTCTTGATTTTTTAAAAAAGTTCTTGTACATTCCATCTTTGTAAGTCAGTCTTGTATATTTTGTGTACATGTCAGCCTTGCACTCTCTTGACACTCATAATGAAATACTCTCCTACCTTGGCTTTTTTTGTTGTTTTTGTTGGGTTTTGTTTTGGGTTTGGTTTTTTTGTTGTTTTAAAAAATCCCTGTGAGGCTAAATACAAACTTTGTCTCCTTAGGTCAAGGATGAAAGATGCGCATCAAAGTGTTTGTGTGTGTGTGTGTGTGTGTGTAGTTTTAGCTTCCTGTGTGCCACGGTATTCTTGATGCTTTAGCCGACAATTAAAAAAAAAAAAATTACTCTGTCTTGGAAATGTAGGAAAACCAGATTCAAATGTGTACCTTTACCACGCACAAAAGTTTCAAGTAATAAAAATAAAGCTTGTTTTCTCTCTTATTTTCATGGTTGAGGATTTATTTTTCATATGTGCCATACTCACTCTCCCTAAAAATAGCCCCAGAATGCAGGAAGATGGGTAATTTTTTCCAGAAGGAAATGCTGACACCACAGGTCACAAGCCAAGACAACTGTGATTGTTTCACAGGTGTTAGGCTTTTATGTAGACACAGAGGAAAGAGGGACTTGAGTTCTGCTTGGGAAGAAGGTGGAGAACTGGAGCTTTCTTGTCTTCTCCCTTCCTTCTTCAGTCATTAAAATTAATCTTTTCATCGGTGGCAGTAAGATCATGAGTGGGAAGCTTTTCCATTTGCATCATGGAAGTATATAGTACCTTTCAGCTATGCTGTGCCATAAACTTTCAAAGGTCTGCTGCAGAAAACAAAATATAAATTACTGTAGAACAGAAAAATTGCCTTAGGAGTTCACTCCTTTCCTACAAGAACAATTTAGGTTAGATTATGTTAAGCTTCATTTTACATAGTACATATGTATTCTTGGTCACTAGTGAACCCTCCAAACCTGAATCCTTTGAGAACTCAGTGTGATTGGGAACTCGCTCAGGAAGCAAGAGAGAGTCTTCAGATGCATCACTTGGCTTGGAAGCAGTCTCACTGGAGGGGACTGGAGAGGTCAGACATGGTGATGTGTGTTTGCTCGCTGGCAGGACACTCAGAAATGAACAGGGAATGTCAGCAGCCATGTTTTGATGCCTTTTCTTTTTTTTTTCTCCTGAAGGGAAACTTACAACAACATAATGGAACAGTTTTGTTTTTCTTTGTCAGTCTTCAGATGAACGTATGTCCAGAAAATAACAGGCTTAGCGCTCAACGTACTGGAGTATATTGTCTCTCTGCCCTGAAGTTCAGATGCCTACAAGAGGCTTTCCTTGGCTGCCAGCTAAAAAAAACCCACAGCTTGAAGCAGCGCAGCGTTGGTTTGACATTCAGAGTTGCAGAGGATCCATCCCTTCCCATGCGAAAAAGACCATGAAGAACAGAAGAAATAGCACAGGGTACCCTGAAGCTGCAAGGCTGAGTAGGTGAGACTTATTGCATCCCCGATGTTTTCTCACTTGCAGGCAAGAAATTGTTTCTGTCCCCTGGATTATTACAGCAGAGGCTCTCCACCACTGAGCAAAATCAGACAGACAGGCAGGATGGTGAGAGTGGGAAACACTGCCTTTTACCAGGGAAATTCTGTAGTAAATGACCAACTTCCTCTTTGGCCTTCCCGGGGTAATCATTTAAATACTGACCCAAATGCATCAGCAGGATTTTTTAGAAGTTCTGTAAACTGGAATACAGAACCCAGTCTCACCAATGAGAAAATATCAGGGAGAATAAGGCCAAAATAGCTAAAAGTGCATATATTTGGGGAACCCACCATTAGCCAGGATCTCTCTCTTTAGAGTGCTAACCCCTTAACATCTCATTGCGTGTTCAAAAATGTTCCATTGTTCCTCAGGCTGAAGTTCTCTCTCACATCGCACTGTGCTGCTCTGCAGTGGACAGACCTTCTACCCAGGCCCATCTGTACTGGTGGAAGAGATACCCACCACTCGCTGCTCATTGCTACCTCCAGTTGAAAGCTGCTGACCCTCATCTACTGGCTGATCTAGGCATATGAATTCTCACTTGTTCTTTTAGTGAAATGCCTAGTTACCAAAAATCTAGTATTTAAGCTACTCACCTCAATGAGCTGGTTAAGTGCTTACTTCAGCAGCTCTGCTAGCAAAGCTGTGGAAGCAGTAAGTTTTGGAGGAGACACAGCCAGTTAGATGTTTGTAGGCAGAACATCTGCTTACAGTCTAAACACTCGTCCAAGGATGAAGTGAGGCAGCAGATGCTGCAGAGACTGGCCTGTGTGGGATTCTTGAGGATCATACCGCTTCCTGATATCCAGCCACATCCCACCGCAGCCTGCTTGGACCTCAGAGGACCTGGTATCGCCCCCCATGGGTGAGCATCTCCTACAGCTCTCCTCGTCCTCCACCCTCAAGCTCTACTGAAGCATCTTTCTGCTGTCAGTCATCCAGATGTGCTGGGAGATAGCCACAGGACTCAGACGGTTTGCTATTACTTTTCTGGAAATAAAGTGATCTGCTGTTCAACTTGAATTTTTCCCTTCTGCTGAAAAAAATCGCCCATGTAATTAAAGACTACACTATGGTGCCTATATACAAAAGGAACAAAAGCAAAGCAGGACAATTTTCATTCTACTTCTTAACCTTCCTGCCATTGCTGCTTTAATGTCCTTTCAAAACAGAATTTATGAATGTAATTCAGTTACAGATTTGTAAGAGCAAATGAAGAAAGGTACAAATTTCATCTCATCTAAGAATATTTTAACACTGACAAAGCAATGTATTTTCTTTGTCTCAGGAAGAGAGAAAAACAGTTTTGGCTGGTACTTAAAAATCTTGGTCAGACACCTAGCATAGAAAGTTTCAGCCCAATCTGCTAAAGCTTCAGAAAATTACAGGGAAATAAGAACAATCTTCTAATAGAAAAGCACAGTTATGAGTTCCCCTTCCTCAGTATTTCTATCCGTTGTCTTGCTTTTATATTAATAGCATATGAATAGCAGTTTAGTGAAATACCACATTTAGAAATCCTGAAGGCCATTAAAAATGCCAAACCTGTATGTATTTTAATAATGGTTCATTCCACTTTACCCAGTAATGGAAAACTAACCTCACCTGACAAAGCACAAGAGACTCCTGAGTACTCGCTCCCCCTCTGTCTGGGACCTGTTCCACCCAGGGGTCGTTCAAACTAGTTAGTTTTGATCTGCTGCTGCGAAATGTGGGAGGCAGTAAGGAACTTCTTCTTACAGAGTAAATCGGGGCTAGAGATTTGGCCATGAGAGGGCTTCAGGGCTGTCCCTAGGGGCACGGGCAAAGGGAACCTGCTGAGCCTTCTGCCCCACCATCGCCTGAGAGCATGACCTAATGCTATGGAGGCAGGTGTGCCGGGCTGGCTTGGTTGCCATGATCATGTTCAACTGCTGAAACAAGGAACATGTTCCAGCTGTGGCTCCAGGTGTGTCTCCAGCCATGTGCCGGCTCCATCTGAGGGTGAGACCTGGGTCTATGCTGCCAGTTTATTTTCAGGTGTGATGGGGAGATGGGAGCATTCCTGCCTTGCGAGTGCTGAACAGAAGCCCCAAGATACATGGACCGAGCCTGCTTCAGAGTGAAACCCCTTCCTCCTTCTCCTCTTCCTCTTCTCCCAGTGGGATGTGCAGCTCTGACACCCACTCTGCCGCTCACACGTGTCGCTTGGAGAAAACCCCCACCACAAGAGGTGCTTTGCAAATGTCGTAGCAACCGCTTGCTTGGCAGGGGTGAAAAAAGGTTTTATCTCAGGCTGTGAAGGAGCAGGAAGGTGCCCACGTCCTGGGGGAGAGGAGGTCATGGTGACGGGAGGGAAACAGGGAGCACCGGGAAATAATCGGCTGGCCAAAGGAAGGGAAAAGCCGGGGGACAGAATATGAGCCCCCAGAGGAGATGAGGAGGCGTGCCAACAGATTTCATGGAGGGTTGGCAAGTTGAAAATGTGATGCACAAGGAAATATGAAAGAACAAGAATCTGTGAAATGCTTTGTATGAATGTTAAGCTTTGTATTAATAACGCCCTTTCTAACTTGCATTTCATGTCTAGTAATGCTCTGGTGTTGCACAATGAGGAACGAGACCATGGCCAGATCTGTGTGGAAGAGGACCTCAGGTGTCGGGACAGGGGGCACCTTGCAAAGCCCATGGACGGTCTTCCTGGGGACGGCCTGACAGCTCAGCTTGCGCTTTTTCATTTGCTTCAGTTTAAACTCTAGACTTAGTAGGGCAGGTAGGAGCCCGCTGCTGTTAGGCTGCAAAGCAATTTCCCAGAAGTGCTGTAGCTGACAGAAGGTAATTTGCAGCACAAATAAGAATTAAAATGAACCGTAAGTAATTAAAGTCACTAGAAGAGTCATCGCAATGAACAACTCTCCCAAGCAACACCAGGTGTGCCCAGGGCCGTTGCTTCCATGGGCAGAGCGGGTTTTATTTCTCCGTGTCCTGCTGCCCCTGTCACGGGCTATTTGTGCAATACTTGTGGTTTTAGTCCACCATTAACATGTTCATGTTTTCCCTTTGCTGCTGGACCCCAGAGGGAAAACAGGAGCAGGCAGAGCACCCAGCGGGCAGCGCCGGCAGAGGCCAGGGCCTCATCCCAGAGGGGCAGCTGCCAGGGGGCATCAAACACGTACCCCACGGACCCTCAAACCACGGGTGTTGACAGAGGTTCAGAGATTCAGTCTTTTCCCCCCTGATGATTAGAGCCCGCGGCAGAGGGGTTTAAAGTATTTTTTAAACTTCTTATTTTGGAAATGAATAAATTTTAATAATACAGGGAGGGTCTAACAAAGATATCGCAGTAACAGCTGTCAACAAAATGGCACCTTCTACACAAAATATGAAACAGGTAAGAGGAATACGTGAAGAGAAAATGAGAATGTGATAAAATTTTGCTGTGACGCCTGGGCGACGCCAGAGATGGACCCCAACCGAGACCCACCACCGGTGGCACAAGGCCAGCCTTGCCTCCTGCCACCACCTGCGGGTACGTGCTTTTAGACAAACACACACGGTGCTGTAAATAATAAATAAAACCTGAGAGAAGCCATAACCCACTTCCTGGTAGGGCAAGGCTGGTTGACAAAAGCACAAGGACGGGTTGATCGCATAAAGCATTAAAAAAAAAACCCAACAGAATATAGTTGCACGCATTTATTATTTTTTTTTTCCCTCGCTTTATTCTGTGGCGCAATTGGGCCGCGTTTGCTTCCGCGCCGGGGGGGCAACACCCGGGCCAGGCCAGGCCGGCTCCGCGCCTCAGGCCGCTCCTGCCGCCCGCCGGGGTTGCCGTGCCGTTGCGCGGGGGCGGGCGGCAGGGGGCGCTGCGGGCTACGCAGGCGGCCTCCCGGCGGCCTATTTCCCCTCCCGGCGGCCTCTTCCCCTCCCGGTGGCGCCGGAATCAAACCCCGCCGCCCGCGCAGGAGGCGACATGGTAAGCGGCGGTGGCGGCTGGGCCGCCCGCCCGCCCTCTTTTCTCCCGCTGTCGTGAGGCGGGACGCGGTGCCCGGGCCGGGCCGGTTGGTCAGTGAGGGGGCCGCAGTGCCGGGTGGGACGTGAGGGGAGGGGGCGGAGCGGGGCGAGCCGGCCGTTGCTGCGGGTAACGGTAACCCGCGCCTCGCCCTCCCCGCGGCCGCTGAGGGAGAGCGGCGGCAGCCCCGCTCCTCCCGATAAACACCCCCGCGGCCCGGTTGTCTGGTTTCCCGGGGAGCGGTGGCGATGTAGCCGGCACCCGGAAGAGCAGGCCCCATGTCCACAGCTCGGTGCCCGCGGAGACCCCCCTGGGCGGGCCCGGGGCCTGGGCGGCCGTTAGTAATCATGGAGGGCCGGGTGTGGGCAGGCTGGGCCGCGCCCCGGGGAGGCTGTGGGGCGGTGGGTGCCGGCGGGAGGAATCGCCGGTGTGCCCGGGGGGGATTAACGGCTGCCGCCGGTAGCCTGAGCCGCAGCGGAGCCCGTGCGCTTGGTGTGCTTTGTTTGGGACACCTGGCAACGAGGTAGGAGAGAGAAACTGACGTGAAATCTAATAAAGTTTATCTAGAAAACGCACTGATTGGTCACTTTCCTCTGTCCCTTGGAGTGGTGGTGGGAAACTTGGTGCCCGAGGGTCGTGGCTGATGAGGACGTGCTGTCAGAACGGCTGCTTCAATTTCACGTCGTGCACACACGGGTTTTGTTCTGTTGCTGCTAAGGGTGTTAGGGCTGCTGGGGATGACGGGGAGAAGGAGTCATGGAGTGGTTTTGGTTGGAAGGGACCTCAAAGATCATCTAGTTCCATCCCCCCTGCCATGGGCAGGGACACCTCCCACCAGACCAGGTTGCTCAAAGCCCCATCCAGCCTGGCCTTGAACACCTCCAGGGATGGGGCAGCCCCAGCTTCTCTGGACAACCTGTTTCAGTGTCTCACCACCCTCATAGTGAAAAATTTCTTCCTAAGATCTAATCTAAATCTATCCTTGTCCTTTTGCTCCACTCCCTGATAAAGAGTCCCGCCCCATCTCTCCTGTAGGCCCTCTTTAGGCACTGGAAGGCCACTGTGAGGTCTCCCTGGAGCCTTCTCTTCTCCAGGCTGAACAACTCCAACTCTCTCAGCCTGTCGGCTTAGAAGAAGTTGTTGAAGTCATAGAAGAAGCTGAAAATGAGTCTGTTTTCCATTCATGCTCCTACTTGCACGTACATGGCTGCTCCAGGTTCTAATCCTGCAATATACAGACATCACAGGAGACCGCTGTGATGTCAGTGTGACATACAGCATCTCTGGCTAAAGCAATATTTAAAAAATATTAATAGTGCTTTTGTTAAATATAATACTGAATTGCTTCTGTTCACGTCTCCGGGTTATTGCAGCTGTGTAAGCTAGTTTTTCAATTTATTTTTTAAAATGTAAGTCAGTCTGGCTGTTTTGTTGTTGATGCACACTTTAAATGTCATGCTGCCCTACCATGTGATTTATTTAAGGAGGAAGCGAAGTAAAAAACGGTATCGACTCCATTCTGTTAGGGTTTGGAAACAAACCCATGTTGTCTTTCTCAAAGTTCCATGATTAGACTCCTCACTTCCACTGAGTCAAGGGCAACAATATTTATGCTTGCTTGTGTTTTTGTTTTTTTTTTTTTAAAGGGGGACCTTTTTCTGCTGACATCCTATTTTGCTCTTTCTCTCCCCCTTTCAGTTTTCTGCAGCCACACACTGCAGTGTGGGGCCTCACAGCCTGCAGAGCAGGGAGTGGGGCAGGGGGAAATACTCCCCATTCACCTTAGGGCCACTGGTTTTGGGTTGTTGAGGTCTATGCTAACCACTATTAGTAACACTCCAATTCTCTGTGAAATATTTTATATCCTAATTTTATAGGGAGCATGGCAAAATAGTGTCTCTGAAAGTGACCAGGGGAGGATATTTTGCAGTTTTTTGTTACCGGTCGCGGTTTGTGGGTAGATGTTTCTGCCTTTTGCTTCTCTTTCAGTCCATGTTATTTATTGCCTGATCACACAAGTGCAGAAAAGAGAAATAAACACATTATTAGAACATTACCTTGAAATTCTAAATTTGGCTAGGTAATTTGAAGAAAGCGCACTTTATCTCCTTAAAAAAAAAAAACTTAAATGGCCTATATCTCACGTTAGTGTCTCTATATCACAAAATAAAAAACAATTCTAAATAAAAACCCCCAAAGATATTCCTTATCTTCTTAAGGACTATTAAATATTTGGGCGAGTTGCTGACAATCGGTATAAATGCACACTTTTAATTTAATAAGGTAAAACAAGGAACTGTTTGAGTATGCCAAGAAATGTTAAGGCTTGAGCTGAATTGGGTTGTGTGAAAGGTTGCCTTCAAACTTATAAGTTCCCTCATTTTAAGAGGCTGGAAGTGAATTAGCTTGGTGTAATGATTCTTTGGGAAGTAGTAGTTTATCTGAAAGTCTGGGGTTATTGGTAAAGTATTTTAAAGGATGGCAAATATAACTTCAAAGTGAATAGATTTGAATTCTGAGCAGATGTTAATTATTCAAATGGCTGAATATGTTGGTTTGGTTTTTTTTCCTGTTGCAGTCCAAGAAAAAAGGTCTGAGCTTTGAGGAAAAGAGAGCTCGCATGATGGAGATCTTTTTTGAAACAGTAAGCAACTTTTTTATATTTGTCCTGCATTTACATCCAGTGGGAAACCAGGTTACTATAGATGAAGATGAACACTGTATATCCAGCTATGCATTTCACTGATGCCCTGTGCCAGAAATGTATAAATTACAGGGACAGAGCTTGATTCAAGTAGCTTCTGATCAGGTAGCTTGTCCCCAGGTGGTCCCCAGGCATGAAGGTACACAGGTGGTGTTAAGCACTCAGTGTGCTCCCTGTGCTTGCAGCCAAATAATCTCATTTTGAGCCTGTTACCATAAGAGGGAGAACAGGAGGTTAGGAAGTATCTCACTGCAGTTTATGGGAGGAGGAGGAAATCTGAGCGTTAGGAAAGGTGAGAGCAGACCTGGGAGAGGTCACTGGGGAGAAGTAACCTGGAAAACCAAAAACTTATATTGGCAACATAAGTAATTCACAATGTTTCATATATTAAAAAAATCATTGTGTTGTTCAAGGACTTGAGCAATGTGGTGCATCTGATGTTGAGAATCTAACCTTGGCTATGTCTGCCCTAAGTGGGTTTACAGTCTAACTTCAGGCAAAATACGGTGACTTTGGAATACAAAAGAAAAGAACAGAGCTTGTTACAATAATGTGTTTTGTTTTATTTTAAATTCTTAGAGTGCTCTAATTCTATTGAGGGATATGCAGCCTATTTCCCTAGCAAAATGTAAACATGCAATGTATTTCCTACTTGCTTTTGTTGGCATTGATTTAATGTAAAAAAACACTTGGGCTTAGATGATGCTGTCATTTGTAGTTAAAGTGTCTTTTATGTTTTGCACAGAAAGATGTGTTCCAGTTGAAGGATATAGAGAAGATTGCTCCAAAAGAAAAAGGGATTAGTAAGTGTTTACAAAAGTTATTTCTCTTCAGCCATTAATCATTTTTGGGACAGGTCATACAGTTTAAATGTAGGTTTGTGATTGTAGTATTGGGAAAAATAGCTAGAAAGGGAGGCTGGTCAATGCCAGGGCTGTAGCATTAAAAGCAACATCAACAGCACACTCCTGCCTTAGTTTGCTAGTTTGTCACTTCTGTTAAATGTTAGGGCCAAAATGGGAAATTATTAAAATGTCACAGCGAGCTCCAGGTTAACCACTAAACATGGGATGGGGTTTTTCCAAGGCTCTGAAATGCCCGACTTGCAGTGAGTTTCAGTCTGTGAAATCGCTGTGGGTACTCAGGTAGTGAACAGAGGATTTAAATGTCTCTCTGTAATATCACAAATATCTTAAAATACTAATCCCGATGTAAACAGTCAATGTTCCCTTGAGCTTTCCCCCCCCCTCAAAAATGACTAGACAGCTGTAAATGGAAGGGGTTTGCCTTTTTAATGAAAGCTCTCCTGATGAGATCCACTGGTTTAGGATTAAGTCCAAGAGGATTTATCTTACGCTTTTGAGTTGTTTTATATGTTCCTCATTTTGTTTCCTTCTATATTCATTGACAAAAGGGAGGCAAAATGTAATGTTTGTGTAGTTGCCACTGCCCTTGACTAGCGTATCTTTATGGCACTGTGAGTAAATGAACTTGTGGAAGGAACTGCAGACAAACGTTGAATGCTGCAAAGCAGAGTTTTTCAGCTATGTCAGTAGCTAACAGAGGCTCTCAGGGGCTTCTGAAGACATGTGGTGCTGTCTTGATTGATTTGTCAATGCATCTGTTTAATTGTAATTTGGAGGAAGAGGATGCAAAACAGTTAATATAAGCAATGGAATTTCACATACAAAAATCTGGAGTGTAGAGTTTCTAAAACCATTAATACCTTTGAAACTGAATAGTCCAAATTCATCCTGCCTTTGAACGTAGAGGCATTAAGCCACACAACTCAGTTAGTCTGAAAAGAAAACCATCTAGCCTGTGGAAGTACCTCCATACTGGCATCCAGCCTATAGCTGCCAAAAGATTGGATGTTCCTGATCTGGGATCTCCTTTATACTTGAAATTTTCATACATGGAAAACCATAAATTAGCTCAAAAGTGTTCACATCTGCAATATTTGAGGATAATAATAACTACTTTCCTTTGTTGAACAGGTATCATTCTTAAAACGGTGAATTACACTTCACATTTTCTAGAAAATGAGCAATTATGTTCAGAAATGTTTTGGATCCTTCTGACTGGAGATGACTTTCTGTATTGGAACTGAATATAATCAAAAGTAAAATCTGCCCCTCCTGTGTCTGTAGACAGATGGCTTTAGTGCATCTGCTGCTCTTAAAAGCTTTGACAAGCATTACAAAGTGAAATGTAATTATGCTCCTAATGAAAAAATTACAAATGAATCCATGTTAGATTAAGTACCCTCAAGTACCCTCTCATGACTTTGTTCTACTATTGTACTTTAATATGCATATGTGTTTTATGATACTCATGAGCGATGTTTTACAAACATCTGGTGGCAGAGTGTAAAGAATAGCAGTCTTTATGTATAAACTGCTGATTGTGAAGGGATTCATTCCTTCAAGGAATCAGGCGTGGTGTCCTCTTGAAATTGTCCAGCTAGCTGACATTATAGCAAAATATTCATACAGATGATTGTAGACGATATCTTATTGTATCCATAATTCTCCTAAGCTTAGATGCTATGCAGTTCTAATTTTATATTTTTGCTTTTACTAGCCTCAATGTCAGTGAAAGAGATTCTTCAAAGCTTAGTTGATGATGGCATGGTGGACACTGATAGAATTGGAACTTCTAATTATTTCTGGGCTTTTCCAAGTAAAGCTCTTCATGCCAGGAAGCGTAAATTGGAAGAATTGGAGTCTCAGGTAAATCTATTTTAAGGAAAGCACTTGTTTATCTGAATGGGTTTGCTTTTTCCTCATACCCTCATGTTGTTCTTTTTCATATTGTGCTCTCTCACGTGTGCGTATGTGCATGTGCTCACACACACAGATTTTATGGTAGCAATCATCTGGCACACACGACATTCTTTCTCACTAGCTTGCTATCACTTCAGAAGAGTTTTGTAGGTTGTTCTGGTTGCAGCTTAAGAAAACTTATTGTCTGCTTGTTGCTGAAAACATGTTATTAATGACGCACAGCATCCTTTCAGGACCTCCTCTACATATTTAGGCAGCATATGCTTTTATGTGTCTTTCATATAATGAAGGCCATCATGTGGTAATGATCTAAAAGCCATGAGAGGACTGAAATGGATATCCCAAGTAAATGTGGCAATGGTTTCTACTTATGGCCATTGTGCTTTCCTGTCTGCTTTTATTGGTAGTTTAATTTGTGAGCACTTGTGTAATCCCATATATTGCACTTTTATTAGGCGAGAAGAGCAAATTGGTCATGATCTTCTGCAGAAGAGCAAGGCATCTTTTGCAGCATCACTGTTTTATGGATCTGGTTCTTTCCTACTTTTTAGGAAAGAACTGTCTTCTTTAAATTGAAGTTGGAAAGCATCTACTCATCAGTTCATTTGCAACTGGAGTACATGATAGCAAGATCAATAAACTAGCTTTATGGGCTGAATGCACTGCAACACTGCCAACTTTTCCCATGCTTATTTAGCATTGTGTCCATTCGTGAAAGAATCGCTTGAATTAATGCAAAATTACTGGTAGCATCTGAACACTTTTACAGGCACTATTTTCTTCAGGCGTAGCTCTGGTGTCATCATTGCCATTTTATACATTGTCAACCTCAAAAAAGGTTCCAAATTTATTGTGTAAAAACATGCTCTTTTCCTCAGCTTGAACTGAGAAAGCAGTTTGTGAATTCGAAGACTGTTCGCCAAAGCAGATTAGTCTGATTGGTGCAGCTGAAATTGCTTGTTAATGCATAGAGCGTGGTGTGGCCATCTGAGCAGTACCACTGTCAGTTAGCCCTTGCTATGCTGTCCTTGGTTGTAAATCTCAGTCATTGCTGAACTGAAAGAGTCCAGTACACTGTTCTGTTTTAACCAACATAAAATAATTTCTTTCCCTTTGCCCCTGTCGTTTTCATTACTGGCCTGGGTGCTCTAGATGACTGAAGGCATTTTGTGTGTTTGCTTGTGTGGATCTGGCAGAGGGAGGAGAGTACTGGCGTCTGTTGCATGCTTGATGCATCTGCTGCAATTTTCGAGATGAAGAGTAAGACTTGCTAGAACTTTCACTTCCTATCTCCTTATTCACTCCTTCATGTCATTTTTATGAGCCAGTGGTGCATTCAGGGGTCTGTGGCAGTAAGGAGGAGTTCTGCAGTCTTGCCCATCATTAAGTGGAACTGTGTATTGACAACCATTCAGCCAGATGCTTTGGACGGGTTGGAAAGTGTGGCTTGAAATAGCTCTTGTGGTACTGTGTGAGTCATCAGATTTTTAGAATCTGTAATTTTAGGTTCTGCTACTGACTTCCTCTATGTTTTGAGTAACGTTCTCAGCATCTTGGGTGACCTGTTAGTATCATGGATATAAACTGTACCTTGTGCGTACTGAGACTTGGTTGATAATAAGTTGTCCCACTGACAGTTTTGTCTGCTCCCTTACTGCCTTTGTTTTCAGAACTCAGGTGAGTCCAGACATTAAAAACTTCCTCAATTTAGCTGAATAAGTTTGTACTATTTTGAGGCAGGGATTTACGAGTCTGGTAATAACCGGGATTAAATTAATTTTTATTGACTGGTAGTAGCAGCGCACTGATTCCTCCTCCAGTGAAATTTCATTTGTGTGAAACAGGAGATCAGTTTAATCTTGCAGTGACTTGGAGGTGAGTTTCCTAGTAAAGTTACTCAGCTTACTAGTATATTCACACAAGTTTTATACCAGGCTACGTACTCTGCCAGAGCCTAAATGCGAACTGAGCAATTGAACAAATACATGCCAAAACTTCTGCTTTGTTCACTGAACACCCTGGTGCCATGCTCTTGTTTGCTCTTGGATGCTTTCTGGTTTTGCTCGTGCTGCATATTATAGCTAAGTAGTTGAATGAAGGAGTTGATATTTGTTGTCTTTGCCCTTGGGCCCAGTCCCATCGAGAATTTTAAAGATTATTGATCAGGCAAGTCTCTGGCATACCCTGATGGATATCTTCCTTGGAATGTCTTGCAGAATCTGCCTAATGTGCTCCACTGTAAGTATCCAAGGGCTGTCTACTAACATATGCTGAACTTCTTTAAATGTACTGTTACATTATTAAACATAATACCAGCTATTATTATGGAGTTATAATAAGCATGCCGTTACTGTACTGTAATGTTATTTTATGGTTATTCCTGTGTAGGAAATAAACTATGCTGATATAAACAATTTTCAATACTAAAACTGTTCCAGTTGAAAGAAATAGTATTGTTACCAGACCTTTATTTGCAAACCAAGTCCTGCTCCTAACGTAAGGGCTTACTAAGTGCTCTCTTTAGACCACGGTATGAGTCTTTAAAAACACTTCCATTCATTACCTTGCTTTTCTGAAGAGAATAGAAATGTTTCAGCCTTTCAGTGACAAACGTTTTCACTGGCTGAAAATAACTTTGCTGTTGACACAGTGGAAGGGTGGCATTTCAATGAGTAGCGCTCTGAACATTTTTACAAGATGATAACAGATTCTGTCTGTGAGTTCAAATTAGCTATTCTAGTGTTTGTATGCTTCTTGATGTGAACACATACAGATTTTCTTAAGGGTTTCTAAATCCAGTCACTGAATATCACAAAACTTCTTGTCAGAACATGCAAAGCAGAGGGAAAGAGTAAGCTATCGTACTGTTTCTGAGGCACGTTGCCTGTCTTTGATCATTCCCACATGCAGCTTGTGGCGTGCTGAGAGACATGTTTGCTTTCTGTGTCCTGACCAGATTGCTTGTTAACTACATGAGTTGGTCTCTTTCTTCAGCAGTTAAAAGCTGGAATCAAGCCACCTTACTTAAAGGACAAGTTTAAAAATCTAGCAGTTCGGTTCATACTGCAATTAAGGCTTTTTATCAGGACGCAGTTTGCTGAGGGGATGAGTAAGTAATGAAGGGAAATAGGTGATCCCAAATGCTGAACTGAGACATTTGAAGATAACGTGGAGGAACAGAACGAGCTTCTCCATGGAGCAAATTCTCCTATTAATTCATAGTGCTGAGGCTTACGTTTGACAAGGTTGATGTTTTGCCTGCATATGTTGGTTTTTCCATGATGTTTTAGCAAAATTGCTCATAGCTCTCTGCATCTTACAGAGCTTGTGATTGTGGGGAGGCTGGTTTAGGAACTGTTCTTGGAACAAAGCTTTTGTTTCAGATTTTTTAGTGATTATTGAGCCACACGCCAACTCGGAGACTCAGTAGCAAAGAAGTTTGACTCAGTCTTTATAACAAAGAGCAAGCCAGTTTTGTCTGGATGTTTAAGTTATACCTCACAGTGGCTGTGTATACCCTAGGTTTTTTTTAGGAAGGACTTATTATGCCATCAGTTTGATTTCCTTGTGCAGAGAGATGGCAATTAAACACAATGCTTGAAATAAAGCTTCTGCTGACATAGCCTCCCTCCCCCCATATTTCAACCTGCTTTTGTGGGGGCAGATGTTTGGAGAGGGGTGCTAACTCCTGAACTGACATATATGGTAAATCTTGTGCTGATCTAATTAGCATCTTGGTGCTCCTCACTATCCGAGGGTTACTGTTTGGACTTCTTCCTTTTTTTTTCTGAAAAGCAAGGACAGTGAATATATTTAGATTGTGGCATCTGCTGAAATCTTTTTCTCGGATAGCTCACAGAGTAAGAATTGCTAAGTAGCTCCCTGTGGATTTTGTATTGATTTGTTCTGGTCTTAAAGGTTTATGCTTTTTGGCAGATGTTTATTCTTCACCTCTTAGTTATACTTACGGAGCTGTGAATTGGACCACTGAAAAAGTATAAGATTTTGGAAGATTTTGGTTAGATGGGTTTATGGTTGTATCAGTACAACCATGAGATGGTGAAACTAGAGCAAGGGTGTGGATTGAGAAGTATTGTTTTAACAAGGTTTATAAGTGGAGGAATTTTTAATGGAACTTCACCTTTGTCAGGAAAACTGTGCAAGCGTTACTGAGAGGGTGTAGGCAGTTTTTTTCCTTCCATAAGAAAAGGTGAAAGGATGTGGTTTTATTCTTTATCAATATTTTCCTGGCAGTCAGGTTCTTACCTATGATCAAATATATTTTGACAAAATCAGATGTTTGTTTTTGACATAATAATACTGACAGTTTAGGGGTTTTATTAAACTCACGAAGAATTTGATTTATGCAGTGTAGGCAGGAAGATCATAATTTATTGATGATTCTGCTACCTTTTGTTGATTTTATAAAATGTAGATGTATAGAATGAGGAGACTGGAGATGAGCAACTCCAGCATGTAAATCACAGTCACGTTTGATGTGAGGCACAAGCTGCTAATGCATTTCATACAGTTAGCCCCTTGCGTGTTTGGGTTTTGCATTGTTCTGATGTAGGTGTTGCTACAGAAGGTTTATGAATGTGAAGGATGTGTTACCTGCTGAAGATGAAAAGGCACATATGCAACCAAAACCTTGACAACAGTTTCATCAGGTAGGAAATGGCGTATCAGGGAGTGAGGAAAACAGAAAGCTTTCTGATGTAACCTCAGTATAAACAGAGTCAGCTTAGATTTTCTTTTGTTTTTTCATCTATGTCTTTGGTAAAACACTTGCAGTTGTACTGTCTGGTTTAGATAAGGTGAATTGATGGTTATCTGCATTTTGCTTTGCAGTGGCTTGAATTAAGTATTAATTAAAGTAAGAAGTAACAGTGAGGCCTTTTTCACTCGAGCGCTGGCGCGTCTGCAAAGCACAACCCTCAGAAGCC